CACACCTACACTTCGGGGCGTGGCGGCTGTATGCTACTTTTCGTCATAAATCAATATCGATTTTTTCGATTTTTATCGATTTTTTTTTGCAAAATTTGAGCTACAGAGCTGGGAGCTGGCACAGAGAAGTAGCGAGCATGGTGATTACCAATACATTAAAAGTTTCATAAAATCACTTATTAATTTATTGCTCATCGATTTTTCTCAGAGTTTGAGCTACACAGTTGGGAATTGGCACAGGGGCATAGGCGGGCATGTTGATTACAAATACGATATTATTTCTCAAAATGATCGATGACTTTCATCCAATTTATCGTTTTTCTGCAAAGTTCGAGTAAGGGGGCTGGAAACTGGCACAAGGGATGAGTGAGCATCCTGGTTACTAACGCAGTGGAATGAGGAAGTTGGCAGGCAGAAGTAGCTTGTACAGGGATAGTTATGGGACCTTTATCACAGTGTTTTGACAGTGTCGGGCGGAGCCGGGTAAGCCAGATAGTAATGTATGATAGCTGTAGAAAGCGTCTGAATCTAGAAATAGAGCAGCTTGACTTTGAAAGTTAATCAGTCGTTCAAATATACACTTTATTAGAAAAAAACATCCGAGCTTATGCAAAATATCCCAAATATAAAAACAAGGTTTTCCATGTTAGGGCACTTCAACAATACTTTCAGCACGATATGCCCTTGGCTCAGCGTCTAGCGACTGCCCATTCTGTGGCGGCGATATTGTGGGCTCTAAATTCGAACAAATGTTGAACTTATATATTATATGAACAATTCACCTTCGTTTACAATTATCATCCCGCATAGAGGGCAGGCGTCTACCATTGTATTGGGGCGCTCGTCTTGAGATTGAAGAGCCGATCTTATTTCGCGTTTGCCTGCAACTAATGGTATGAAAAATGTTCTTGATGTTATGAAAATTTCAAAAAGTTGCGATCCGACCTATAGAAGCTGCCATATTCGAAGAAACCAGTAGAATGAAGACAACGAAGCTGAATGAGATTTTCATCTTCCTGACGTTAGTGTGGCTCCGCTGCGAATTCCTATCAAAACCTAATACTTCATATGAATGTTCGCTACAAGTACTTAACTATAAGATTAGATATTGTTCAAAATCGTTGTTTGCTGAATGAATGTAGTACTTGAAGAACAAAGAAAATCTGTGTACAACTGGATTTACTTCATAATTTATCTGAGCCATAGGATTATCCCGTTGTTTTTGGATTATGCATCATCTGCACTGAACCCTGAGTACAGAAGAGAAAATAACCTTTTCAACTCTCACTGATTATTATCCCGTGCAATTGTATTATTTCACGGTACAAGCTGGCTGTTTTGAAGTGTTTTGCACTTCTCATAACAATTTATTATTCTGCACATGGATAGGAAAAGTGAATTTTAAAAGCAATTAAAATCGTGTGCGCATGACTGAAGTTGAGAAGATAGATGTAGAATGATAATTTTTTGAAGCAGCTTTTGTATCAAAGTTTATGAGAAGATATATGGTGCAGAAGTAATGCGCGTTTTCCGAGTTCTCGCTTTGACGTACTGCAACTTTCTAGAAATTCTACATTTTTCAATGATTAACCATCATAGGCAGCAAACCTTTTGCAATACAGCGCATTTCCACCTTTACTCATATTCCAAACGGGCAGAAAAATATGGACTATTAAACAAAAAAGTTTTTTCTGAGACCTCGTTTTTAATTGATCGTTACTCCCTAACTCAAAATTTGTTAGTATAAATGATAAGTAGCCTATCTTATAGCAGCAAGCAAGTAATGCAAAAGAGGATGAAAAGGACTCAAACGAAGAAGATTTGCGAAAAGGAAAAAAATCAAAATTCAAAATTGTCCGCCTTTTCGACATCTTCGTAGGCCTCAAAGCCCCAATTTATGGAGCTTTTTGATTTTCTGCTCAGAAAATATAGACTTTTTTTGCAAAAAAGACTGTAAACAGGGGGCTACCCTTAGCAAAGCTTTGATGATTGTTTTCTTCAAAAGAAATTCATGGGCCACAGAATCGCCAAAACGACTACCCAAGTTGAGGCAGCGAAATCTCAGTCTGGTTAATTTTTAAGAAAGTAGTAACCTGTGCATAATACAATTTCTATTGAGAAAAACAGCTGAATTTCAAGAGAATGCCATCATTCGGGCTTGAATTTTGACTGGAAAAGTAAATGCAATAAAATTCTGGTTTCGAGTGCGGTTCTGTGAAGCCTTACAAATTTTTAACGAATTAAACTAGAAGCCCATTTCAATGACCATTGTATAGACTAAGAAAAGATCTTCATAGAATTTTTTTCCAAAGAAGAAAGTTTGATGGAAAAATGTTGTTTTGAAACAAGGCTAGAAAAACGCGTATTACTTTTGCATCAATCTAATAAATAAGAATGTTTTAGTGTAGCAGGAATGTTATGAGGAGAACAAGATAGAAATAAACTATTTGCTGAAAAATGCTAACGGAGGCAATTGCTCGTTTGATGCCTTAGTTTGTTTAGTCACTTCGTAATCGAGCATGTTCCACTTTCTTAAGGTTTATTGCAGTGTAACAGTAAGCTCAATAATATGACTGATCCTCAAAAAAAAACTCCAAACAATTTTGATGTAGCAAGAATGAGAGCAATTTGATGACTTGGATGTGTTTCATTAGTATCTTCTCCATGCCTACCAATTTTTTGCCGACCGAGTGGTTTCCGCCTTATTTTCTGCATTTTCATCATCTGAACTAAGAGTGTATTACAAAAGCAGCGTGATAAGTTGTGTGTGCTTACCTTCACCGACGAATAGTTCTTCTGCCTCTGGGCAAGGCCCTAACTCGTTAGAGTCATAGTCGTAATCATCATAATCATCTTTCTCATCCAAACTGTTTCTGAAGCTTGCCCCAACTCTACCTGCAATCCGCATTGATTAAAAAATCGCTCAAGAATGATACCAGATGTACCGACCGAAACTTGCACATATGCTGGAGTACACCTGCATCGCAAGAATAAGAACAAACAGTGCAGTTCTCATGTCGTGATGCTTGCGGTGTCTAATCATGCTTTTATATGGCGACTCCAATAGCTGCACTTAAAAAATTACTTAAATGTCTTGATGACATAGCTGCAGTTATTGACCCTTTGCGATGAATCGTTTAGAATCTGCTACAAATCACAAAGACTTTGTATTGTTAAAGGAAATCCACAGCCTTTTCGATGACGAATTTTTACACTGGTGAATACTTCACTGTTTACGAGCTATGGTCAGAGTTGTGCAAATATTAAGCACTGCTCCTGCAAAAAAATCTGGCAAACGTATTAGCAGATATGCCTCTTGCAAAAACTCTTTCAACACAACGGTACTTAATTAGTAAATCAGCGCATTCATTTAGCGCGAGATAACTACACGTACTTCTTCCGTAGCTAACTATTAGGTTGATGCATAATTCTTGCGCCTAATTTTTCAAAAATTTCTTTCTTTCTCCAGCTCTAATGAGCCTTCTGGTTTAGTACATGATAAGGAGAAGAAATCTTGCGATTTCCACTTATGAATCAAAATTCATTGATGGCTTATGGCAACTAAAGATTAGTAAATGCCCAAAAAGTGATTTTTTTTTGAAAATACTGTACGTTCTTTGATCATGCAATCGGGGCATTGAGATATGTTGTTGATAAGAGAAATCTGACAGTACAGGGTGAAAAACAAATGTGAGGCTTTCTTTCAGGTCTCGGAGAAAGGTATTTTTACCGAAACGTTAGACCGAAATAAAGAACTTACATAGCAAACATGGTGGCTTACATTTTGCCGCTAAAATTGCTAACATCTGCTGAAATTTGAATTTATGACTTACCCTTTTTTGTTAAAACAAATTGGTTGTGATCAGATGTCTATACCATTAGTTATATATCGATTTCTTTTATTCGACTTATCGAAATTGTTTGTAATTGATTTTCGAAAATGTAGTATAAAATACTGCTTTTGATATACATATCAAAGAGCATGTATTGAATAGTTTGGCTGAGCATTTTTGAGACGAATTTTTTATTTTCTGGTGTAAGATTTGTGCGTCATCCTAACATCTAGAGAGTGTACAAGAAATGAGTGCCGCACGCATTACTCCTCTTCGATGGCTGAGGCAGGGCTCGACACGAATGGTTCCGAATATGCAAAGAACACAGTCCCTTTTATCTTTCGCAAAATTTTAAGAGTCTTTTTGACCCAAAAGTGGAAATGTCGACAAAAAACCTAACCTAACTTGTTTTTCAGACCGCAAAAACGATGTTCCTTTTGCTTTTTGTCCCAAACATCTCAAAAGCAATATCCAAAGTGCTTATAAGTCACCTGTGCCGAGACTAAGGGCAGCGATTTCATACACGTTAAGGCTCTTCCTCTGCATCATTTGCTAGATTTCTGCATTACTACCCTAATTTCACGCGTATAAGGCGCACTTTTCGAATTTTTAAGCGAGCCGCTAGCCGCTTCACTTTATTCCGGAAAGAAATCCTTACATCGCACGATTCTGTAAAGCAATAGACAGCACGTTATAGGGTCCTTTGGCTGTACAGTCCTCTGGTCCTTGTCAGAACTATTGTCGCACCCCGCACCGTAACAACCTTTGCGCGTTATTTAAATTCTCTTCCACTGATGGTCTGCCATGAATATGGCAATCGTATCTTTAGAAATGGTCAATGAAATACCAGAGTAAAATTACGAGAATTACGCTAAATGTCAGAATCTGTTATAATGTAGTAAGTTCCAAGCTACTTTCCATTTGAGCACATTCTTTGCAAACTTTTATTGCATATGTATAGGCTCCAGTGCAATTTTCGTTGGCATAAATTGGTATCCATAGAACGAAAGGTAGCAGTTAAACATTAAGAAAGGAAGGAATATTGATTCCTGGGGTGGAGGAATAGCTGTTGCGATTCAAGCTTGTGGTATTGGTAGTGGGCCTGCACCTCCATTGTGTCCTAAAACTTTCTTCTTGGACTCTAGCTATGCATGTTGGTCATCTTACCCATCCTTGGGTCAAAACGTCGTTCATGGGAGTGGCTCTCATGGGAATGTGATTGTGATTCTGGGGATTCACGGGAGATATACCTTTTATTGCGCTCACCTGGAAGAATCAAAATTCTTCTCTATAATTTGCTGAAGTGGATAAAAGAGCTAACCATTAACGCCCATGCTGGCGAATATCAAGAGCACAAAAATCAAGCAGAAATATGTAATCTTCATAATGGCTGGTGCTGAGAGACATTCAACAGCAGCATATATAAATACTCACTGGTGTTCATCGCATGACGGAAGTACAGCTGAACCAGTCGACCCTGTGATATGAAATTTGTAGCTAATCCTTCCAGTCTTCAGGATTAGCATAAAAACATCCCGTTACTGGAAGTTGATAGTTTTAACAGTAGGCAAGTACGTCCGGACATTAAAAATATGATTGTACGTACAGTCACGCCAAATTATAATCCTACTAGTGTAGAAGGATAATCACGAGGGCATCTGTGACGTCTAAATACCCGTACTACTAAAATGTGATCACAGTGCATAACGGTATCAATTCTTTTGTTTTACACTAAATTTACTTGTAGCACTAACACCTGTGTCGATTAGGATCATGTTTATGAATAAATCCGCTACAGCCATGTTCTCGAACATTGTGGAAAAAGTATCCCCTATAGAGGATCAACTGTGATCACGGCCAATTATCCGGAGTTTAACTGCTGTACGACTGAAGAACTAGTCTTCAGTAAAACCTAATTTTGCATGTTGAGGGACACATACATGTGGATTTGGTGCAGCTAATGAATGTTTTGCAAAGTCTTACTCTCACCGTCACTACTTTGTCAAAGTCAATTAATTAGGTACAGTGAAGCAGGTAGAAATGGGAATCAAAAGATTTTTTGCTTCAACATCGTGTATAATTAACCATAACTGTTTTTGGAATTAGTTTCGTGGGTAGACGAAAAATTACACTTGTGCAATCAAAAGAGCCCAACGGATCGAACTGCCTGCGAAGGAAATTAATTTGGAATGCTAGCTTCTGTCTTATTTAGGCGGTTTTTTATTGAACACAGTGCAATATTCTCTGCTTTTTGTTACTGAACAGCTGACTTTTTCTCATGAAACTGGCAATAGGCATTTCTTGTCTCAAAATTTTCATTACTAAAGACTTAGTGGTTACCTGCTAATTTCTGACAGTGGGTTATACAATTGCCATAGCAGCTCATCTTTGAGCGTTATTTACCAAATCTAACAAGGGAACCGTGTCGAGTCGATGTGGCCTTTCCAGATGAGACCCACACTGCTTTGAAGAGCATTAATCGTTGATTCCAAATCTGCTTTCCAAATCTGCCAAGCGCCACTGGACGCCGAGTTATGCTCGTTTTTCAGGTCAAAAAATTGAACGCAAAACTGCAGCAAAATCGCTCAAATCTCTCAAATGGTCCAGTGTCAAGTATCAGAGCTGTTTATGCAATGGATACATTTTATTTAAAATGCTAATACTCAACATGGCTTTATCTGAGCGCTAGAAAGATTGTAACAGTTGATTTTACGTAAATTTTGCATTCATTTTTCGTTCCAAAGTACGGCCATATCTCGGCGTCCAGAGGCGCTTGGCAGATTTGGAAGGCAGATTTGGAATCATTGCTTAATGCTCTTCAAAGCAGTATGGGTCTCTTTTGGAAAGGCCACTTCGACTCGACACGGTTCCCTTGTAAGCAATAGTGAGCAATTGATCATGCAGTACTTACCCTTCACGCGTATAAGGTTTTTCAAGCGAGCCGCTCAGCCGCTTTACTGTATTCCGGCGAGAGATCTTTAAACCGCACGATTCTCTTAAGCAATATATAGCACGTTATAGGGTCTCTTGGTTGTAAAGTTCCTTGGCTTGTCTGGGCTGGTCGGTTTTGGCAAAGAATCCCCCGCGCCTTATGCGCGTGAAATTAGGGTACATGAAATCTATAATTCCCTTTTGTTTTAGGACACAATCTTTTTCGCCTTTTGTGCTCGATTTCTGGCCAAGACAGTGAAAAGGAAATCATATATGTTTCAATTGGGGTTCTGAAGAATTCGAAGAACCGTTAGGGAAGGTCAAGGTTAGGAAGAATGGTATATTGCAAATCCTAAATTAAAAAACATCAATTTTGCAATAACCTTTGGACTGGCTGTCAGATATGCATTTTTCATTACCGTAGACCATCACTTTCCATTATTTTTCATTACCATACAAGAGGTTATCTTCAGCGCGAAAATATCTTGACATTTAGTAGCTCCAGTTATGCAAGCGAATTTGGAGTTGAAAAAATTTTCATAATTACTGATTCAAATGCTGGCTCCTCCACAAAGGGAAATAAATTAACGATTCATTGCATTATCAGAAAGCCTTTGAGTATTCATGACTTTATGAAATAGGAATAATTTAGTAAAAACAATAAATACGAGCTGGACAAAATCACGTTTTGCCCACGGTGACTTCTTCACTGAAGCGTGCTCCGTAGTTCAATGACAACTTCTGCATGAAAGTATTCTTCACAATGTTCCACTTGTATCGATTGTTAGCCGCATTGCGTATGGTTACTTTTAACGGCCTAGTATACGGTGCAAATGCGAAATCTCCTAAAATTATCATGTAGACAAGAAGGTAATTCGAAGAATCAAAGATTTATAGAACCCGGAAAACTTACCGGTTCCACCACCAACAGCGGTCTGTGCCAAAGCGCCTGCTTCGACTTTTCCGTAAAGGGGTCCTACACCTCTCAGGTTGTTCGTGGGGTTTTCTACCTGTAAATATTTTTGATTTCAAAGGGAATGGTGAGCATATGAAAACAGTTTACCTGAATTGGAGCAAAGTCATTTGTCACTTCGACGCCATACAGAGGCATATTCGCAGCTGTTAGTGCTTCGAATACCTATACACTTACAGCAGTGACTCAAAAAATCTTTTTCTTCAAAAATACCCTACCGCGGCTTTGATCTCAGCATTTGCCCTTTGCTTGGCTAACATAGTATCATTAGATTGCCCGACAAAGTACCATACTGGATAATTGTCGCTACTCTAAAAATTAAGCGATTTGTAAAAAAGACTGCTTGGTAGATTCTGAACCTTTATAGGGAAATAAGTCCATCCAATAGGTGGACTGATGTCCATACTGAGCACAGGATCTTCTATCCATTCATAGTCGTCGTTACCAAACCCTAGAAACTTGCCAAATTTGAAAAGTGAAGACTTTATGGTACACTTACCAGCAGAACATCCCCGCGCTACAGCTAAGATGGCTGTTCCCAAGACGAAAGAAAAGAGTTTTCTCATTTGAAATGTAGAGGGTGAAACTGAAGGAACGCGGCATTTATATGTGTCCCTGCCTGGTTGTAAAACTATGCTTTTGCTTAGCTTCAACGGGGTCGTGTACGTAATAGATTACGATTATTTGTTCAAAGTTGTATCGACGATGCTGTCACGGCTCGGTCCTTGATGCAAAATTGACGGCAAAATTTCCACGTACTCTCTTCTTTAAACCTGGGCATGACGTATCGAATGTTGTATAGTGTTGTTCTGCCAACCAGGTTTCGTGGTGGATCTTTATTATTGACCTTACGTTTCGGCAAATATCGTCTTCTTCAGAGGTCTAGGTCCACCATGGAGTCAGTAGTCCGCACGACTGTGACGGACATCACTGAAGAAGACGATATTTGTCGAAAAGTAAGGTCAACAATAAACCACCACGAAATCTGGTTGGCAGAACAACACCCTACAATATTTGGCGGCAATGTTCAGACGAAAAGGAATTACACGAATGAATTCCATAGTCGCTTTCAAAACATGTGTACTGCTGCTTGACCTCGAGCTTTTTGGTTTATGAGGTGTTCGCTTGAAATTTTATCTCGTCATTTTCATAAAATGTGAAATGCCTAGGAACCTTTTTGATCTCTCTATTTTAGCAAAATGTAGAAAGAAACGTACATTGCATAAAAATATATTTCTAACAGAGTTATTCTCTATAGGAAGATATTTTTTGTTTTTTATTTCGTGAGATTTTGCTGACCTTCGATTTTTTTTTACAAGTTTCTCTTTCCATTTGATTTACCTGGAAAGTTCACAATCACAAACTTTACTCATTTGGAAAGAGAGGTTAAACTCATATTACTGACTGCTTCGGAGTTAACTTCAAAACTTCGAACGATTTAATTTTCGAAAAACTAAGCTCGACTAATTTTTTTCGGTACCGACTCTGACTCCTATTCTCTTACTGACAAGAGAAGCCGCTTGAGCGCTATTACATAGGCTTGTTTTCCTTTCTGAAACAGTATGCATACCAGTGAAGCGAAAATTCTACAATCTTTTGGGGTGAACCTGGTGCAGAACTTTCACACCAACCCGATATTTTGGATGAAGGAGGACAGGATCGTAGGAGTCCTTCTGAAGCTTTGTTTCATCTTTAGGCAGATAATTTTTTACAGGACGTCACTCCCTAACGAGTATTTTTGTTCGATCTCCTCGACTAGCAAAAAGTATGATTCATTGCACGCACAGACTGGACCCCATTGCGTTCCATTGAGATAGTTCGTGCATAGTAGAGGTAGCAGACGGCAGAAACATGAAAGAGCGCACGATTGGGAGACGTCGGGAGCGTTCTCAGTGAGCTTGTCTTTGCGTGGATGAGTAGGCTATGGTAGGCTAAAGCAGCAATTTCTTCCGATCATACAACATTTGTCCCAAGCCACCTTTGAAGTTGAGACTACTCACATTCAGTGTTTGAGTTCATGAGTTCATATGTGTGTAACCACAAATCAAAGAAACTTTTATTACAAACCGTGAAACTACAAAAAACAAGCAATGAGGGACAAATAAGCAGAACAAAGCCGACCGATTAGCGAACACTTGTTAACTATCGAGCGATAGTTGATGAGCTCTAAGAGAGTGAACGGTCGTTCAAATGGCATCGATGCAGGAAGCGAGATCGTTAAGGTCCTCGTATTGGTACTCAGAAATTTGCGGCTGTCCCACTGGAGCGAAGGCATTACCGATCGTTGAGTACTAAAAAATGATCGTTTAAGGTTTTTTTTTTGAAGTTCATCTACGAGAGCCTTACCTGTGTTGTATAGCGAGTTACTTCGGGTAGGCGAACAGGAGGAGGTGCTGGTACAGTTGTACGCTTTACTTTTACCTGACTACCGAAACGAGACTGGAATATTGGGTTCTCTTGCGCAGTGTCGCATTTTTCACTTTCACTTACTGTGTCTGCAACTCTTTACGTTCTGTTTGGCAAGCACTTAAAAATTTTGCTAACCATTAGGAATGGGTGCATCAGGTAAGCTGAAATCACAGTATCCTTGATGAATCGGAGCAATCTTCTGACTCAGTGATGGCATATAAGAAGTCAGCTCCTTTCTATATGCTGGATACAAATCGTTTGGGATTCCCACATACTCCGAGTCCTGTACGGTAATTGTTCCCGATTTTCAAGGCCTTTTACCGTATACTTTTACAGCGACTCACCACGGGTTGGTTACTACCAGCTTTCACAGGTGGTGCCTGCTCAACAATTGCTTCTCCAGTCGTGCAAATGGAGAACTTTCCAACGTGTTGCGGGATCTATGACAGGCTTTATATCAACGAGATCTCATTGAGGAAGTACGCTACAGTATGAATACCGTAGCACGCACCGTGCCCGGCTACTACGCGGTTTTCGCCTACAGTAAACCTTGTGAAAAGAGATTTTCCCCAAGAACTAGTTAGGAAAGACTCAGAGATATCAGCATCTCTCAAAGGAAAAGGAGTCCGTGTTATACTAGTGATTAACGCTTTGCAGCAGCATAATTGTTAACACTCTTCACTAAGTACATATCCTTGTGCGTATAGCATGCACCGCAACCGCGACGCAACCCCACTGCCGCAAAGAGGTTACGGTATCATACATCAGTGACAAAAATGTCTGAACGCACCACATTCTCAGCTTCGAATGGGGCATCAGCAGGAGGCAAGCTTTGTTCGTGTTCTAAAATAGCTGAAAGAATTTTTGGCCTACTAGCATCCATATTCGCTACCGTAATCTCTTATAGCATACTGCGCTAGTTTCTCCTGTTCGAGACGTTTCCATGCGTAATCAGAATAATCTGGTACTCGCTAAAACGACGCTTCGTAATTCTACTTGCACTGTTCCACGCACCTCAATCTGTTTCTCTTTTGCTATTTCATATCTCATAAGATCTCGATCAGGTCTTGCGGGCGAAGTCGTAGCATCTGTGAGCTGAGGCAGCTGAGCCACAGGCGGATGGTTGACCATCATTTGCTGATGTAAAATCGGGCACTGCACATGTGGTGAGACAGCAATCTAACATAGTTCTTAGAAAGAGCTGGATATCTTTCAAAATTCGAAATGCTCACTTCTGGATTGTATTCCTCAGCCGGTGGTGGTGGCATAGTGATATGCTCTTGATCTTCGAGTGATATCTTTGTTTTTACAGGAGTACTATTTGTACTCATCGGATGCTTCATTGAGTAATTTGCTCGACTGATACAGTACTGTGACTCGACAAAAGCTGAAACTCTCAGCTGACATGGATCATCTGACGATGTGATCTCTACATCGTCAGCTGCTTCAGGGAAAGGCATTCGTAACGATTTGCTAACGTATCGTTTTACCCTCGTTTACTGCTTAGATTCTCAAAATCTCTTCATTATGAGGGAGATGCAAATTGTGATAGGACGGCATCTTTGCTCTCGTGATTTCTGTAGGCGATTAATCGCTCCTATGTGCAATGATTCGCATGCACGGACTGTACGTTATTGCGTCCTACCAAGATAGTTAGTACATGGAAGAGACAGCAGACGGTAAGAGAGGTGAGATCGCGCTCGATTGGCGAGACGCCGACAGCGTCCGTCATGATGCCCTGCGTGTGATGAATCGCTTATACCTCGGTAGGACACGATTGAAAGCTCAACTTACGTTTCTCGAGCAAGATATCAGTTTCAGGCTGTTTAATATCAGGAACTACGGTCCTTTGTCCAGGCTGGATCACAGGAATCACAATTCTTTGTTCAAGCTGATTGATCATAGGAACGGCACGCCTTACTTGCTGGGGCTTCATTAGCTCTATTTTCTGAGCTCGATTCGGGAGCTGGAAAGTAGAAGTCGGCAAAGTTCGGCTGAAGCCCCACAGATCGTGCGCATGCTGCTCTGACTGGCACCTAAGAAAGGTATCTTACCTGCTGAAAGTTGACTGGCAGCGACTTCTGAGCAGGGGAAACCGGCTGCGAATATGGTACGGCTGTCTGTACTGCCGTCAAAGCCGATTCGATTGGATAGTAGAAGCTGCTGACGAAGCGATAATCGTTCATCATGATGATGTGAGCTCAGTAGGAATGAATGCGACCTAACTCAAATTTCTTTATATAGTGGGTCATTGTTTATGGAAAGAGCAGTCCTCACAAAGCAGTAAAGTATAGCGGTTGAAACAACTCGCCATATAGGACCTCGAGCCAAACCTACTGCGTAGACCGTGTCTTTAAATACTTCATTCAAAAAAATTACTTGGTGTGCAAGACACTAAAGTTATGCGGACCGCCTATTCCGGTGCGCCTTCCGCCCCCTTGAACGAATCTTCGTGGCCCTTGACGTATATTACTTGGCAAGCGCAATCGAATGCATACTGTTTAACGTGTTCAAGCTTTCTTTCGACAAGACTAGCGGCGGAGCGATCGTCTCTAGCTTCAAAAAGGAGATTTTTAGCGGTTCCACACTTTTCAAGCTTGGTATTATTCAGAATCAGCGCCATGAAAAAAGCCTGGCTAGACAAAAATGGCAATCGAGAATTTGCTAAGACGCTGTTTATGATGACTGTCAGAGCAAATATGCTTGACCTGTCTCCCTTCTCTATTCCTAAATTACTCGGTCATCCTGCTTTCTCGGCTCAGAAAAATTACTTTCTTTAAACAAAAGCTACGTCCTTACGGTACTTTACTTTTCATGTGAGCTATTCCAGCTTCTCTTCAAAGACCGAAACTCAGCGTTGTTTTGAAGGCTTGTGCGTCATTTGCCGCACTTGTGTGTGATTACACATACATTTAAGAATACGCCAATAGGTAAAGCTCAACTTTAGATTTCATTTTTTTTTTGTTTTGGCGGAAAAAAGTGATGTAGTTCCTTTGTGTGCTGTCTAGGTATTTGTATATTGACATTCATTGCAAAAATGGTTGCAGGTGGCATGTCGTGGAGGGAGGAATACGCGCAGCTTTTGTGTGAGTGGGTTGTGGTTTTCTGGAAGTGATGCATCATTGTGCAGTAAGAAGAGGATGAGCATGGAATTATTTTTCAAAATTTTTCAGCATTCCTAGACGCATGTAGCGTCACATTCCCCGTGCGTACATTTAATAACAATCCAGAAAAGGACTCCACTCCTGTCAGACGCGTTGCTTTTGCCTTGGAAAATATGGCGAGCATTTTGATTAGACGGTTTTGACATAGATTCGGTAAATTTGCACGTTTTTCAGATAGATCAATTGAAGAAACCCTTGGTCCCTTCAACACAGGCACTCGCGCAGTCGCTGGTCTATAAATTCAATGGACCACATCGCCGTCAAGGATACTGGATGAATTTTAAGAATTTATCGCGGTCGCTGCGGAAGTACAACGAGGACGACTTGCTGAAAAGGGTCTCTGACATCCATAAGGTAGTTATCTGTGGGGTAGTCTTTGGGCTTATTAAACATATTGAAGACTACTCAGATCAGTTGTAGAAAGCAATGGCAAGTAGCGCGGGATTTCACATGCCATCTAACGAAGTAATTCGGTACATTGGCAGCTCTTATCTGAAACGACTGTTTAGATTGCAGCAGGTATGATAATGTCTTTGATTCGATTTTTCCTACTGTATTTTTCTCAGATACGTGATCTCTGCATAAGGACATCTCATGTTATAATGGGACAGCTTGAGTTGGGCCATTGGGTATGTTCCATTAGTTTTTTGCATTAAATATTCTGTTTCATGCTCTTATAAATCATTGATTTTTTTTCGGTTTGGCTTGCATGCAATGTTTCTTTGATCTCTCTAATCATTTTTCTATCTTTGGGATAGCGTCTAATTCTAATGCGTTCGGAACTGCAGCCTCAGATCGCGAAATTCGGTTTGCCGAAATCCCACGAATTGTTTGTTAGTAAAACAGACAATGCTTGTACGGCTTTTCGGCGTTGTTAGTCAAAGCTTCGACCTTATCATTGCAGCTGAGGAATCGCTAATCCTCTTCGTAACTACAATTGTTTCAGGAAAAGTTCAGCCTGTTTATTGTTGCAATGTGTGCTGACATAAGCCATGGAATCTGCAAACAAGCTTCGGGAATGAACACAGTCTACGAGAAGATATCTGGCCTACTGACTTCTCTTGATGGAAGGTTAGTTTCTCCATTTCTTATTCCTGACTTTCTAATGAAGATTTTTGTGCAGAGAATCGTTTTTCTCTAATCCTGACTTGTTAGCCCAGAAACTGGGCTAACAATCAGGATTAGTGAAAAACGAGCAAATTTTGTTGCATAGCTTGCATTATATAGTGTGGACCCCGGCCAGCTTCCCATAGGTACCTGCGCGACGCTCCCGCAGCGCATGCCTTCAGTGCGCTATCGTTTCCGCTTCATATGGAAATTGCTATGTTTTCTTCTCTAAACTGGCTTTGTTCTGTTTGTGAACGCTCTGTTTCAGGTGTAGACGACTCAGGAGAACTTCCTACGATGGGTTTTTGAGAGCCTTAATAGTCTTAACAGCCTTTGTTTCAGGAATTCTCTTTTTTTTCGATAGCGGAGATTTTAGCATAATTTAGTGGAATATTTCTCTAAAGATTTTGATTACAGAGTAGGCGTGCCTATCTGATTGATTTATAAAGTACATATAATTGCTTCTTGTTCTTTTGTAATGCGTCAGTGGGGCTCTGGTTGTACAAATGTGCTCGCTAGCTTACGCTTTTTAACTTTTTTCAGATGATCACAGAAGGAAACGTTTCGAAAGTAGCCTTCGACTCTTTGTCTCTTCTAGCATTCTCAATCAGCGGTATTTTCATACTAGCATGCAGGAGATTGACTGATATCTGCGCGCTAGTGGGGGCTGTGAACGTTTTCTTCTTGCCTAGGCTCTTCTCGAGCTGAGACTGATGATTCCACTTCTTATTTCATTCCTCCATTATGTAGAAATGCTTTTTTACTCATAAATGAACGAGAAGCGTCAGGCCGAGCGCGCGTTGCGTATGCGCCGCGGCGGTACCTATGGGAAGCTGGCCGGGGTCCACACTATACATCATTCTGTTTGATGAAAGATTTCTTCGTTTGGAAAACAAAGCTACCATTTTTCAGGTTTCCCTCTTCCCTGTCTGAACTTTCCGTGTTTTCTGATCTTTGCGAAAAGATCAGTGGTCAGAAGACTGTAGATACGGCCAGAGTGATGCGACTATTGCAGATGGATGATGAACAGCTAGAAGCAGCTCGTAGTAAGGATCAGATGGCAATGTTTAGGTAATTGCGAGTTGCATTTCTTTTTTTACTGCGGATGTCTTGGTTTAGAGACGAGGTGTTATCAAGTATAGATTTGAAGAATGATAGTATCGACCTTGGCACTACTATAGAAAGGGCTGCTCTGGAAGATAAAGAGTAAGTTTCTAGTAATCTGCTTGAGTATCTCGATGCCAGATTTATCTGAAGTTTTGCAGTCACTTACACTTGATAAATGTAATATTCAGTTGGATTTTAGGTATACAACTGACAATCAAGTGGCAGAATCTAGGACCGTAAGTATCTGAATCCTTTGTTTTGCAATTTTTGATGCCTTCTGTCCTGCTTATAGGCCTCAACAACTGATTCTGGCTTAGAAGTCGACTTTGAAGCACCAGTTATGGCAAGTGTTTTGTGTTATCCACCTATGTTTCGCTTCAGACGGTGTATTTATGTCACATAATTCAGAGTTCTACAAAAGAATCAACAACTGTCAGTGGTAAGAAGCACAAGAAAAGGTTAAGGAAAAGAAAGAGGAAGGAAAAGGAGATGGTTGGCTTCCATGGGGAAATTCTGGATCAAGCATGCTCATCTGAGTCTTGCAGGTGGATCATCTACCCCTCGAATGCTCGTCTTCCACAGTGTTTGAAAATTCCGACGATGATATAGTCAAAGATGTAGAAAACCTAGAGGCAATACTCACTAAAAGTAAGAGGAGGCAAAGTGTAGAGGTGTGTGGTTGATGAATCTCTTTATTCTTACAATTCCATTTATAGTTTTTTCCATATATTCCAGATAATTTTCATTTGTTAGCCATTACTAGTCATTTCCTATGACAGTTCTTGAGGAAAGGTGGAGGGTGGAGGGCATCGTTGAAATCGTCTTCGTTTTGAGTGCATTTGAGTTTTATTTAGAATCGCTCTTGATGAGTTGAGGTGACCTTACGATGGCTTGCTTGTAGCGCGAACTATTAAAATTAGAAACAGAATAAATCAATTTTGTTAAGGTTTTGGAAAATGAACTAGATTTACAATCTGTGCACTCATCTTCCGTAATTTCCTCATCAATTCCTCCCAAAAGAAAGAAAAAGAAGTTGAAGAAAAGCAGATTATCACGCACAGTAAGCTGTTTTTATAGAGTTCGGATGATCGATTTTCAAATAGTCCTATTTACTACTTGATATGAGAAATTTGTAGATTATCTCTACGGATTTTGAATTCACCAAGGAATCTGCTAGCTCTGCTGACGCTTCAGACTTTGTTAGATGCTCTGCTACCTCGGAGAACAAAATTCAGAAGCTACTTTCCCTTGATAGCTTTTCTTGCTGGCATCATTCTAATTGTGACATTTGCAGAATCCACCCAACAGTAAGAATCTCGAACGCAATGCAAGCTCGCGAAAGAGAAAATCAACAGATATTGATGAGAAGTCCTCGCCAAAAGTCTCAGCAAAGAAGAAGAAGAAGCGGTTGACTGTTATAGTCTCCTAGGGTTGCTGTGATCAACATTTTTGTTTTCTCGTTGTTTCTTGTTACTGTTACTGTTTGAACTTTTATGTGCTACCCTATTCTCTCGAATAAAAGTCGTTGGTTCGACTTCTGCTTGGCGATATGGTTGAGCCATGTATACTTCTATTATTCGTTTCAGTTCAGTCAAAGGTAAACGCGTTTCTCTTGCCATACTTTAGTGCCCTTATCATTAGTTTTGCTTGGATCTTTTGCAAATATTTTTTGCTAATTATCAACAGGTTGAATATCCTCAAATTGATTCCATTGATTTTGATTTGAAAATCAACACTTCACATTCAGACATGTTTTTCATTTTAACATTTTCTGCGACGAGATGTGTCATCTGTGTCTTGAGATTATCTGCAACTTGTTGCGTATTCGAGTCTATCTCTACTTGTATGTAAGTGCGTAAGAATGATCTCCTGGAAAGCTGTACACTGTAGGGTGACTTTTTTCCATGCTTGCATTGGTTTTGAACGATCAGATGTAAGTGCCTCTTGAGGTCCTGCATGTCTCGGCCACGAGCATAATTAGAGAAACAATTGCCATTATTGTCTTTCATCGTCCGTAGTTTCTTTCTTACAAATTGCTATTTTTTTGTCGTCCTTAGCAGTTTCTTCCTCATAGAAGGATATCTTTTTGAAGTCGCTTTTGTATGCAGCTGCAGCCTCAGCTCAGCTCGGTTCCGCAATGACCACTCTGATATTCGCAGTTAATTTTACGCCTACCACTCTATTCACGCCATCGTATCGGTTATTTCTTCATTTTTGTCGTTCCAATAAACTGCTTCTCAATATAAGGCCATCTGAAGGTGGGATGACCTCCAAAGGATGGCTTTCAATTTCTTTTCACGTTCCATTGGTTCGCTTTGCTTAGGATTCACGCAGCGTAAAACCGTCGCTTCTTCATCGAATTTCACAGAATTTTCCACGAAAGTCTGTTTTTGTCATGAATGCGGCATTCCTATACAAGTAGCGAGTGGCAACTATTTCATTCAGATGACTTCCACACCTTTCCCGTTTTCTGTCCTTCGCAAGATCATTATGGTCTGTTATCTGTATGAGTGTTACATTTTTGAATTCGTCAAAAATTAGACTTTCTGTCTCACTGTTTTCATAGTTTCTTTGGGTCTTTGAATTCGGCATTTTCTTGTGCGGCGGTATATAGTGTTCCTAGGGGCTGCTTCTGTCCTCCTAGATTTCATGTGAATTCTTGATCATGGAAGAAACTATATGCTTGTAAAGTGATTTGAAATACTTTATACAACGTGCCTATCACTCTTAGATTGCACGATTTCGGTACATAAACTATGTACATTCTGATCCAAATTGTCATATTATTCAGAAATGCTATAAGGCTACAAACTGCTCTTGTTGAGGAACAGTGCACATCCTCGTAGCGTTTGTACTCGATATCCGATCACCGTAACTGACAAGTAGATCGAGAGCGACACCGTTTGTCCAGCCAAATCCGGGCTAAAAGTCAATTTCTTTAGAAAATATTCTATTATGCTTTGTAACGCCAGTTTCCGGAGTTTGTCAGAATCTTGTTCTTTGCACGCACACAAGAAGCTATATAAATGCATTTTTTCAGTTTCTCACCTGAACAACATATTCTCCACCACCACCTATGCGTGGATGAGTAGCTACAACATCGTATTTCTCCCACATAGCATTATGTGCCTGGAAGATGCGATAATTTGCGAAAATCCATTTCTCAGCTAGTACGAAAGCCTTCTGTTGCATCCTGGAAAGTGGGCTCTCATGTACTTTCAAGTGAATAATAGGTTTTTTATATACAAAAATACCTTGCATCATTGCTCTTACGCAAACCCTCTATCATCATGTGATTGAGTGGAGCCCATCCATTAGGAAAATCCCACTGTTCACTGCTTTGCTGGTGCAAACTAAAGAATAGACGCTTATGTTTTCTGTTATCAATATCGATGGTCTATCTCTTCTTTTCTACTCACCTTGACGGAAGTCCTCCAGTGAAGTTGAACACTCCTATCTCTTCTAACTTATTGAACAGTTCGTCTGCTTTGCGCGTATTTAATGGTTCATAGCATTGAGTGAATAGGGGCGCAGCAATCGAAGCGTAGAAGTCGGTATCATGTTTCTTCGTTCTTAGATTGTAGTCAAACCATCCCTTGGCTTCTTCTACCCAGAAAACTTTTTGGAATTGATCTCGAAATTTGATGAACTCTAAAGTCCATGCGGCACTTTTGTATTGATTACCTGAAATAGATTTCTATGACATCTGCAGCATATTTGGGAAATCTTACCGAGCACTCCATGCAGATTGGCTAGGATCTGAAGATTGTAGCAGATGAAAGCATTGAGGTCAACGGGAATTATATTCGTTGTCTCAATTGTGGACAAATTCTGATTATCGGCAAACCAACGGATGGAATAATCCCATCCGGATTCGGCTGCACTAGCGAGGTTCTTGAAGAGAAGACGTCTTTCATTCTCGTCGCAGACGTATTTGGCTGTCAAAATATCCTCGCGGTAAGCCTCTGGTCTGAAGTATATGTAGGTGAGGGGTTTGACAGCACGTATTTGACTATTTCAAAGAATGTAGAAATCCTCTTCTTTGCAGGCAGTTTGAACTGCTTAAAGGCAGCGTCCAGGAAAGTCTGGACACATGGGGATCTCACGTGGATAGTAATTTTGGGGCCCTAATCAAGCCACTGCCCAACGGCAGCTCAAGTAGTGCTCTAACGGCTGAGAAATTCCCCTCGAAACTGGACCCCGCGATCGGGGTGGGGGAACGAAAGCCGCCAGGTCCAGCCGCCTTTCGAGGCCAGCTGGTCCTTTCGCAGCGTTGTTGCATGTCGTTCCAGGACCAGCAGTCCGCGGAGGCGGCTGGACCTGGCGGCTTTCGTTCCCCCACCCCCGCGATCGTATTTCGCATGCATGGCGCAACGCGTGGATCCTCGCGGGAAACTGCCATGAGTCCATGCGAAACGATCGCGGGGTTCAGTTTCGAGGGGAATATCTCAGCCGTTAGAGTACTACCTGCGCTGCCGCTTGGGCAGTGCCTTAGTTAGGGCCCCAAAAGTACTTTCCACGTAAATTCCTCATAGGCTCCAGATTTGCCTGGACGCTGCCTTCAAAGAGGTAAGATCGGAAGAAAAGAGCTTCAGAATTGGATTTTGAAGAATTGCCAAAAATGTGATTCATTTAAATGCGAACGTAACACGCTAACAGCTACTTAGGTTTGTGATTTAGTCTTTTTATTTGAGCAAACTTCGTGAGAGAAATTGCGATCAAATTTATCTTGAAATTTCACCAGTTTATATTTTTTGTGGGTTAGTTCCTTTTGTGCTTATATTTTTTTCGAGAGCCATGGTTGCTTTTTCACTGACAATCCCGGAATTTTATCTCAAATAGAGTCGGTCATTTCAGATGAAAATGACTAATCTAAATAACTTTCTGCCAATCTAATGTAACCCACGTGAGACACGTTCACCAACCTCGGTACTGTTGATGGCGTTCTATACTGATACATCACGATTGGTTCTCCATCCACGGTAATCTCTATGGAACGATTGGATTTCCAGAAGCTGAGCTCCTTTTCGATGACTGGCAGCATCTCCCTCACGAGTTCCTTATCTTTGGTGGCTATATAATAATCGTATATCATTGGAGTGAATAGTGGAGGTTGAGATCGTCGCAAGTAGTATATCCGTCCTCCATTTGGCACAAAACCATAAGTGTTGATCATATAGGCAAAGTTCAGTATCATCTTCTTGGCTGTATCTTCCATTCCGGACAGAAGAAGACCTTTCACGATCCAGTAAGCATCCCAGTAGTAGAATTCGCGGAAGCGTCCACCCGGAGCAACGAAATGGTAGGGAACATATATGAGGGAGAAGCGTTCGGGATTTTCCCTGACTTCCGGCTTTATCTCACGGCAGAGTTCTTTCCAAATTGTATTGAGTTTAAGAGCAAAGGAACGTAGGCTGACGTCTTGGATGAGCATGAACTTTTTTGGGAATGGAGTCCAGTCGCTGAGTTCGCAGCTAAAATGAAATTCAATCGGTAGAGAAAATACAATTAATTTGAAAAAGACGTCTGGCTGCTCACCTTTTCAGCTCGTGGCCGTCCTCATCGAAGTTTGCATCCACGAACGCTCTCACTTCGTTCTTTTTGAGTTCGCTCAGCGGTTGAGGGAACTTTGCCTCAAATTCTGCCAGCAATTTCGCGCCTTCTTTTCCCGGCTTCATAGGCATGTCGACGAAGGATTTTGAGTCATTGTACAGTTTGACTGTCATGACTGCTTGTAGCAGTTTTCCACTGCAGTAGATCATGTGGCGTTTAGGAGCATTAGTCTCGTCGCATGCTTCGACCATATCAAGTTTTTCTTTCCTTGGTTTCCAGGTGATTACTCTAGCGCCTATCTGAAAGCGATTTCAGTAAGCTCTTTACTTTTTTGTTTTTGAAAGACTAAAATCAAAAGACTTTTCATAGTTCAATTGTAACTGTAGGATTGTTCTTTTGTTCTTTCTCTTTCTTACTAACAATGATTGAATTAGGCTTCGAACTACGAAGGTGGTCTCCGATTAGTTTCCGTCTTGCGATTTTGTTTCCTTTTGACTGGTCTAATGTTAACGCGATTATTTTGTTTATAGACGCATAAACATAGATTGGTTTAAAGAAGCCTTTTTGATTTTCGGTGTGAGTGAGAGAAGGTGCCTAGTCGTTAATTTACATACTTCATGCTGGATATGGTAAAATGTGGCCAAACTCTCAATTTACCTCAGTGAGTCAAGCACAGTTTTGAATTTATGGAACGTGAAAGATCTTAAATTAAGCGTTTTTTTTGCAGCAAGTTAGAATATCCTTTTTCATAAGTCGTGGACTAATTCTTCGCTTATGTTCAACATTAATGTCGGAAATACTTGTAGCACTAACAAAACCATCTACAACATTTTCTTTGACTTTGAACAACCAGGAAGCAGGAACCAGTTTTGAAAACAACATGGTAGTAAACATTGAGAATTTTGAGGTGACGAGAGAACGCGGCATCGGTGAAGTCACCATGGGAAAGGTGATTGTACTTTCCCATGGTGACTTCACTTCCCATGGTACTTTTGGGTAGAGGTTGATACTCCAATTCAAATATCGATGGGTCGGGCTACCCCTAGAGCTACTGCAGATGTATTATTGAAAACGATTGTTGAAGATAAATGAAGATAAAGGGAGTCGGAAAATGGCAACCTTAGACATCAGCGTGGCTAAAAGCCGTTTGAAAGGATCAGTTGATAAGGATGGTAATAATGCTTGTAGAATATAGAACCTTAATAGTCAAAGGAAAAGCTATCAGATTTCTGCAGAAAAAAAGATTATTGATCAGCGTTTTGAGCACTACTAATGGACAATTCGATCTATTCTGCGTATGAGACACTAGCTGGCTTACCCGGCTCCGCCGTATGTTCCGAATAGAAAATTCCATTTCTTAATCGATCCGGACCAAACTTAGCATACATACACTTCGGGCCCCGGCGGGTGTCATAGGCTACTTTTCGTCATCGATCGATATCGATTTTATCGATTTTTTGCAAAATTTGAGCTAGGGGGCTGGAATTTGGCAGATTGGCAGACAGGATCACCCCCACGGGGGTGATCAGCATGCTCGATTACCCCCCTGTGCTAACTCCCAGCCCTGTAGCTCAAATTTTGCAAAAAATCGATAAAATCGATATCGATCGATGACGAAAAGTAGCCTATGACACCCGCCGGGGCCCGAAGTGTATGTGTGCTAAGTTTGGTCCCGATCGGTTCAGAAATGGAATTTTCTATTCGGAACATACGTACACACAGACAACAGACAGAAAGACAGACAGACAGACAGACAGACAGACAGACAGACAGACAGACAGACAGACAAACAGACATTCAGCTTTATATATAAGATTTTCGACTAATCGCTTTTCCTTGCGAGGCTTTCGAACAATTATTATATTCTGAGATTTGCTTTGTATATCTTACTTGTACTATGCTGGTAAATGCTCTTTGGAAGAAAAAACTCGTGCCACAGTTGTTCATAGTTGCATTCTCAAACATATTGGCAAGCAAAAATTCTATGGGAAAAATGACAGGATTACTTTTGTACTCAAATTGGATAACTCACGTGTCTGTCGCCAAGTTCCTTCTCTATCATTTCTTCTTTATGTGTAGGTGCAGATGCTTTTGCTATAGAATGTGGTGACATGAGATGATGTGGTGGTGGCAATGCTGTGGAAGAACTCACTACTATAAGCCATGATAGTATGGCATTCTTAAGCATATTTTCTGAAAAAAATGGATGTAAGAAAACGGCCGGTCTTTTGAATTTACATGATGTTATGTAGCGGTCCCAGACGTCAGTTTCTAACGGGTCTAAGCGATAATAGCTTTCGGGAAAAGTTAAAACTTGTAACCTTTAGCTGCTTCCACACTAATTTTATCAACAAATTGTGCCCAAATGAGTGAAGTACGGTAACTGAGAAAGTCTTAAGATGTTTTGGAACTTTGTTTGGACAAAAAACAGCTCTAATTGGTAGCAAGAACCACTTGGAACGTTTTGACTACAGCGTTTTGAAAGCTAGAATAGCAAAGGGAAATCAATGAAATCAGTACTATTTTGTAGTTCTAAGTTGGAGCCAGCCTTACAAAATGATACACAAGGTTCTGGGACTCAATTGGGATAGACTGTATAATCTTGCCATGCTCATAAAAAGACAGTTTGTACACACAAAAGAGATTAGATTTTTTAAGCAATATAAAATCGTTGAAAACACAGCACGTGGTCAATTCGATGTCGCAATGATTGTGATGTATTGTGTTGCGATGAGAGGGGATTTAGTAGGTTTTAAACAGATCGTAGTGATCTTCTCGTAGCGGTAATATTTACGAACTGGTTATCGCTACAACAGCTAGTTAGAGCAGATCATCTCAGCTGGAATGCTAGAAAACGAAACGAATTAATGAATTGAAAATGAATGAGCAGTGTGAACAGTGAACAACGTAATTGTTTTGTAAAGAGCGTGAGATTGAGTGATGGGAAAATACCCTAATTCGAGCAATGCGACGATGACGTGATCTTTGCGCAAGCTTACAATCTTTCATGGTCATTTTGTTTAACTGAGGGGGACTAGTTTCAGCGCAGGTGATGCGAAACTCACAAACAGAATTATGTGGTAGAAGGATTAGGCAGAAGTCTTCAGGTTTTTTTTTCGGATAACTAACAGTAAGTTGCAGTGCCTTAGAAGACTTTCTACCTAGACAGTTGCTATTTACGTCAAGCAGTGTAAGGCAAATCTGATACCTGGGTTTCTTATGGTTTTCAAAGCACTGCGCAATCACCAAAGCAGCCCATATAAATCATTCGTGAATAAGTGCAGTCTTCAGTGCTGGTCAAGAATTTGAATCCAATCTTTTGACCAGCACTGAAGGACCATTCAGCGCTCTTGAGTACGGTACTGGGCGAGAGTGAATGGAAGTTCTCCGTCACGAAAAAGTTTACGGCACAATCATCATTACTACCTTGATTATTGAGGAAACTTCATATTTTAAAGCACAAATGCAAAGGAGTAAACCCATCGTAAATGCTAAATTTAGCCATTTTGCATGACAGTGTTTGCCAATCCTCTTACTCTTACTATTACTCGTTATATAGTTGTGGCTGTAATATTATGCACGTAAGTGCATATTAAATACCATGTTTATAAATGCAGAAAACCAGTGCAACAAATAGACACTTGGACCTAGATTTGGAAATTAAACTTTGGGGGCAGAATTCGTCTGATTTTTTGCTGCGAAATAGGGCCAAAAAATTGCAGAGAAATACCTAGCACTTGACATCTTTGAAGGAGATATGTTCTTTGTGCCTTATAGTCTAGATTTGTCCCTCTTGAAATGAGTCGCATCTTGCTTTAGTTCAGTACTAATCACCTCAACTCCAGTCTTTGCTCAGGGAACATATCGCATAATCTTTGGGCTGGATCTTTTTTGCTTGACTTGGGAGCAAGATCATGATTCCAGAAATGATAGATGCTCTTTTTGAGTCAGAGGATGGTAATCGAAAAAATCTAGAGAATATAACTCCTTTTATCAATTTGCAAGCATCATTATGATTTATACTCCTGATTCTCATTATGATGTGCATACATGATGATTAGCCATAAGCGTTGGAATTCAGTGGTATCAATTTTCAAAGTTGAATAGGCAGAATGCCAGCAACATTGTGACGTGGGCAGTGCACAGACAGGAGATTGATGTTTAGTTTGAAGAATAGTAAAACTTGTTGCTTGAGTTAATCCTATTGACAGGGGAGATAGAAAGAAATATACTTGTTGCGTGTTTGCCCTTATTTTGCCATTTTTTTGTCCGAATGCTTATGTTTTGTCCCACTCTTATGATAATCCAAATGGAATCTTCTATGTTGTCGCCCTTATTTAACTGAAATACATCTTCAAACCAGCTCAAATATTTTCTAAAACTTCCTTTTCTACGCCATTCTTTTCTTCCCTTTCTGAAACTATAAAAGTAGCTAAAGTGTAAAGAGGACCCGTTTTCCAGGTCCGTGTTTTCATCGATGAAAGCTGGTCATTTGGAGTGATAGGAAAAACAGAACGAGGTAAGTATCTCATTAATAAACATAATAAATTATTTACATGCATTTTTTCCTTAAAATTGTACAATATATCAGCATAAATAATGTGTACAGATAACAAGCTCGAAATGACCGTAGGTATGAGTATCGATGTAAACCGCGTTGCTCCTGTAGAGGAATTTTTGACACCTTGCCTGGTGTCGCTTATATTTGCTGTGGATAATCGGTCACCATAGCTGACTAGTAAATCGAGCGCAACACCATTTGTCCAGCCAAATCCGGGCTGAAAAAGGAATTCAAATCAGCATAGAATGCATTTAATTACTGTAAATTCATTTATTGATTTTACCTTATTTTTACGATTTTTTTTTTGTTCAAAATGCCGTTCTCAAAAACGGCATCCTCATTATATTCTATTAAAAAAATTTTATTATCCATTTCATTTAACTATATGAAATCTTACCTTTCTTTATTTCCAACTTCCTATTATTTAATCGAAAACTGTGAAAAAAACCATCATTCGGCTATGAAATCAACTTTTGCATAACTTATCCCTAACCCCATCCTTTCTCTACTAAACCAGTCTATTGTCACTCATTTGTAGAATTTTTCCTTTATGTCTTTATGAACTGACCTGGACATCATATTCGCCTCCACCACCCAAACGTGGCTTTGTGGCTACCACATCGTATTTTTCCCACATTGCTTTGTCTGCTTGGAAGACGTGGTAATTGGCCATGACCCATTTTTCTGCCAGAACATAGGCTTTTTGCTGCAATCTGAAAGGATTTTGAGATTCCCGAGCAGGGTATAAGGAACTGCGACAATTTACCTTGCGTTATCACTTTTACGTAGTCCCTCGACCATCATATGATTAAGAGGAGGCCAGCCGTTCGGAAAGTCCCACTGTTGGGTGCTCTGCTTTTGTAAGCTGAAATATAGCCTTGCTTAGATTTTGAGAATCTCAAGGTGGATTATTCTCATAAATATTTTTGCTCACCTCGTTGGGAGTCCTCCGCTAAAGCTGAATACTCCTATTTCTTCCAACTTATCGTATAATCCGTCCGCCTTTTCCGTACTCAATGGCTCATAGCATTGAGTAAACAGGGGAGCAGCAATAGAAGCGTAGAAGTCGGTATTGTGCTGTTTCGTTCTCAAATTATAGTCAAACCATCCCGTTGCGTTTTCTACCCAGAAAATTTTTTGGAATTGTCTTCGGAATTTGATGTACTCTGCGATCCATGTAGCACTTTTCTTTTGATTTCCTGAAAGCATTGCCTTTTTGCGCTTGGATTATAGCAATTTGCCTGAAAATTTCGTGAAAACTCTTACCAAGCACACCGTGGAGATTGCCCAGAATGTGAAGATTGTAGCAAATGAAAGCATTGAGATCGACTGGTATGATACTTGTGGTCTCGATTGTGGCAAGATTTTGTTTGTCGGCAAACCATCGAATAGAGAAATCCCATCCAGATTCAGCTGCACTGGCCAGATTTTGGTAAAGAAGTCGTTTCTCGTTTTCATCCGAAATCGCTTCACCGGTCATAACATCTTCGCGATAGGATTCTGGTCTGAAATAAGCTTATATTGGTTGCACTTGTTATTTTTAGAGTTTTCTTTTTCTCTTGGAAGACATAATTGGATATTCTTTTGAGGAGAATTTTTTAAACTTTTCTGCTCTTTCATTTTTCTAAGAATGAAATTTACCAACCTTGGTACAGTTGAAGGAGTTCTGTACTGGAACATGGTGATTTTCTCGTCGTCTGCATTGAGCGTTATCGAGCGGTTTGCCTTCCAGAAGTTAAGCTCTTTCTCAACGACTGGCAACATATCCCGGACTAATTCTTTGTCTTTTGTAGCTACGTAGTAGTCGTAAACCATCGGAGTAAACAATGGCGGTTGAGATCGTCGCATATAGTATATGCGTCCTCCATTAGGTACGAATCCATAGGTTTTAATCATACAAGCGAAGTTTAATATCATTTTCTTGGCTGTTTCATGCATCCCGGATAGAAGCAGGCCCTTGACGATCCAGTAAGCGTCCCAATAGTAGAATTCACGGAATCGTCCTCCTGGCACTACGAAACGATGAGGAACGTAGATCAGCGAGTAGCGTTCGGGATATTCCTTCACTTCTGGCTTTATCTCTCGACAGAGTTCCTTCCAAATGTCATTGAGTTGGAGGGCAAAAGTGCGGAGATTATCATCTTTGATAAGCTTGAACATCTTTGGATTGGAGGTCCAGTCACTGAGATTGCAGCTGAAATTGAGTATTTGTATTGAGAAAAAAAAGAAAAGAAAAAGTGATTCGATAATGGGAAGAAATAGCAAATTGCAGTGTAGGCAAGTTTACGTACATACTTCGGTTCTTGTGGAAGATGAATTCTTAACCAGTTGCCCTAACAGCAGCTGGTATGATCACTCATGGCCAAAAATTCGGAATAGGGTTCTGAGCTCTCACCCAGACCGTAATTTCGATGTGGAGTACGGTAGTGGGCGAGAGTGCAGAATCGAATTTCTCGGCCACAAATGACTCAGATAAGCTGTTGCTTGGACAATGGCTTAGTTGATGTTTTCCAGTCAACCTCATAGGAAGTCCAAGTCACAGATTTACCTGGATGCTGCATTCAAAATGCGATGAGTGAATTTCTAACCTTCTCAACTCGTGTCCTTCCTCATCGAAATTCGCATCCACAAACGCTTTCACGTCGTCTCTTTGGAGTTGGTTTACCGGTTGAGGGAATTGCTTTTCGAACTGCGCGAGCAAATCCGGACCATTACGTCCTGGTTTCATGGGTCTGTCCACAAATGTCTTCGAATCATTGTGAAGTTTCACAGCCATAACTGCCTCAAGCAGTTTTCCACTGCAGTAGATCATGTATCGCCCTGGAGCGTTGCTTGCATCGCATGTTTGAATTTTATTCAGAACTCGTTCTTCTGCTTCCCTTTTTCTTACATCGACTGCTGCCTGAAATGGGGAAATGAAGATGGGCTGGATGTGCAAATTTGAATAAAAGTTGCTACAAGAAAATGATCCAAACAAGAATTACCACAGGTTCTTTGAAAGATTTTGGTAAAGGCTTGAAAGACCCAGATATTCTTACTACATTCTTATCCACTTGTCGACGATATCTCTGAATTCTTACGTTCAGATGTTTGATCAATGACGTCTAACTGCAAAAGACGCCTTATTTGTTCTCAAGCGTAATTGACTTTTCATACATGCTCGAAAAGATAAAATCTCTTCAAACAATTCTCAAGAATTTCTGCCGGTTTCGAGGCAGGTAGCTTGTAGCAAGCTGGGTCTCGTCTTTGGGACAAAAGGCAAAGGGGATATCGTTTTTGTGGACGAAAAAAAATTGCTTTCTTAGTCGATGTTTCTTTTTGAGGGTTTTGTACGTACAGGGTTCAAGGTGGAACTTCGTAAAATTTTGCGAAAGTAGAGGGGACTTCGTTCTTTGCATTTTCGGAAAGCCATCTTGTGCTGAGCCTTGAGTGCTGTTTTGTGGAGATACGTATGTTTGCAATTTTTCGAGGTTTTCGAAGTTTTTACAACTTGTATATCTATTTTGGAGTAAGAGAAATAGCTGTAGAAAGACATTATCAGTAACGATATAATTATGTTCAACTGTCAAATTATATTTTATTTCTTCTGAACATTAGATGTCATTTTTGCAGCTTGTTTTTGGGACGCAGCGAATATACCGCTGTCTTACAAGGGAAGGAAGGTTGGCCGAAGTGGCCTTTTGAACTGAGTTGTAAACTGCCTTGTAGAGCTTGGAACGCTGATTCCAAATCTACCTTTGCTCTGCTGCAGGCTTCTGGGCGAGAAGTTATGGAGGTTTTTGTGAGTAAAAATCTAAATGCAAGAACGGGGTAAAATCAGTCGTAACCTTTTCCCAACGTTCAAATGAGGCAGCAGCGAGTTGGTATATTTGAATCAAGAATATTTGTTGCACCGAGTGATCCGACTACCAATTAAGCCCTATAAAAATGTTACGACTGATTTAGCCTACTCTTGCATTCAGATTTTTACTCACAAAACCTTCATAACTCGTCGCCCAGGAGCCCGCAGCAGATAGCAAAGGTACATTTGGAATCAGCGTTCCAAGCTCTACAAGCTATATATATATATATATCTCATTTCAAAAGGCCACTTGGACCAACCTTCCTTTCCTTGTTGGAAACTCTGGACTATTTTTAGCATTTTACTGGTACTACTCCTTTTCTAAGGGGTGTTTATTCTCCCTCTACGCGAAGAATTTCCGAATTCTTCAGAGTACTTACATCTCTTATCTCTCGAATATGGTCCTCAACTAAGCTTTTATCTTCTGAACTTATCGCTGTTGATGGTTCTGCTGGTTCTGCTGATACTAGCGTATGTGCTAGTTTTGCCATAGAATATGAGCATAGTGCTGTGAGCCATAGTATGGTGGCACGTTCGTTCATTTTTATCTGGAAATATTGAGCTTAAAGTTGAAACCATGCTTGAGATTGATAGAATATTTTTGTTGAAAGCGAAAAGGACCTTTATATGATGCCACGAAGAATGGGAGCAAATGTACAATTTTATGGCAAGTGGATATGTTTGCTGTAAGATTATGTCTACTTAGAAGTAGGTAAAAGTAATGGAACGCTGCGTTTTGCAATGATAGTATTGATAGTTAAGTTGGGTCTCAAGCTAATGAAAATTCTAAAATGTACAAAAATCTTACAACCGTATTCTTGTCAAGCTGTAAAAGTTTTGGCTAATATATTTGCTGAGTAACTCATTTCATTTGAGGAAGTACCTTTGGTGACCTTTACAACATGATATCTATGCCAGAACATCCATTTTGTATATGGAATCACCCGTTTTGGAACAATCAACTCGAATTCAAATCCGAATTCTGCGAAGCAATTTTTTTTTATAAGAGTAGTTGTTTTGGTTCAGTGGTTGCGGTGGTCTCGCATTTCCTCAAACTTGGGTAATCAAACTTTATCTTCAAATCTTCAAATAACATGAACATGAACATGATAACAACTACAAACTAAACTACACTAAAACTACTACACCAAAAGATGAAAGAAAAGAATACTGAATTTGGTCTTGGCTAAACCACTTTTATGCAGCAATATGTTTGGGTATGTGCTCGAAGGAATAGACGATGATTAAGCATAAGTGACAAATACATGTTTTGTCTTCGAAACCGATTAAAAGTATCAACATATGACCTTCACAAGGTGAATAATGTTAAGAGAATGAAAAGCGTTCACAAATTGAGTGTATCAGTAAAGGCCTTTGAAAGTATCGAGGGGGATAGCCATGAAAGGTTTTCACAGCCCCATCGAGGGAATCGCTTATCGTGATCCGAACATGGATTTTGAGAACCCTTGCGAAAGCATTTCATATTTTGTTCGTGAATGCCCTAAATTCGTCCCTGCCAGTATCAGTATATCATTTTGCCCTCTATACTTCCTTATTGATGCCAGAACATCCATTTTGTTTTCTTTGCTGTGTCTAGCAAATTCGAAGCTCGTTTTGCTCAATTCATAATTAGGGAATGGTGGGAACGCCATGCGCGGAGCTGGGATTACGGTAGTGCGAGGCCTGTGCTATGGTACCGCTGGCACACTTTGGCGTACTGCTATTGCCAATTATCGTTATTCTTGACATATACCCCTAGGGCAAAAAAGTGTGCCAGTGGTACATTAGCACAGGCTTCGCGCTACCCTAGTCCCACCTCCGCGCATGGCTTCCCACCATTCCTTGTTTCAATGAATTAAGCAAAACAAGCTCCAGTTTTCTACAAACAGTAAAGAAAACAAAATGAGTGTTCTGGCATAGATAAGGGAGTATAGAGGACAAATGAAATACTGGTACTGATGAGTACGAATTTAGGCCATTCACGAAAGATAGAGGTAGATGTCCCTTCTGAACGGTATTTAGAGAACATGCTTGAATGAAGAGAACGTAGTAGAATGAGAGCGAGCCTCTAAAGTGAAAGAAGCTAGGTGTGAAAAGCAAAAGTAAAGCTGACAATACTTCACTGCACTTGCTTATCACACAGCTGACACGAAAGCTAAGACAGAACGGAACGGATTTGGCTCTAGAGTTCTTGAGACGCTGAATGAGCCTATGACGTCGTCACAAAGGCTTCCATCTTTGGCGATTGAAAGCTCAACTTACGTTTCTCAACCAAGACATCAGGTTCAGGCTGATTAAGCGCAGGAACTGCGGTCCTTTGTCCAGGCTGGATTACAGGAATCACATTTCTTTGTTCAGGCTGATTTCTCACTGGAACCGCACGCCTTACTTGCTGGGGCTTCATTGGCTCTATTTTCTAGCTCGATTCGGGAGCTGGAAAGTGAAAGCCGTTGCAAAGTTCGGCTGAAGCCTCACAGATGGTGCACATACCGCTCTGGCTGGTACCTAAGAAAGGTATCTTACCTGCTGGACGTTGATTGGCAACGACTTCTGAGCAGGAGAAACCGGCTGCGAATATGGCCCGTCTATCTGAAATGCCGTCGGAGTCGATTTAGTCGGATAGTAGAAGCTGCTGACGAAGCGATAATCGTTCATCATAATGATGTGAGCTGAGCTGTAGGAATGAATGCATCCTGACTCGGAGTTTTTTTTTTATACAGCGAGTCATTGTTTATGAAAATAGCAGACCTTATGGAATGTAGCTAAGTGCAGCAGTTGAAATAACTCGCAGTATAGGACCTCGAACAAGGACTACTGCGTAGATTTGGTGTCCAAAGACTTCTTCTCTAAAAAGAGTAAATCGGTGTGCAAGTCTCTAAAGCTATATACAAACCGCCCACTTCGGTGTGCCGTCCGCCTCCATGGACGAAATCTCCGTGGCCCTTGACTCGTTTTCACATGGCAAGCACAACCGAATGCATACTGCCTAACATGTTTCAACATGTATCCAACACTGGTGCCGGCACACGCGTCCATGGTTATGAAAATTAACTTCAGAAAGAAGATCTTGCGAAATCATATTTCGTCTCATATTTGTAACCGTCGCCATGAAAAGCCCAACTAGACAAAAATGGTCGAGAATTTGCTAGGACGCTGCTTATGGTGGCAGTCGGAGTAAATATGCTTGACGTCTCTCTTCTGTGAGTTTTTACAGTCACCTGCCTTCGTAACCCTAAAAAAAATTCTTCAGAGGAAGGCCTAGTCCCCACGGTATTTACTTTTCATTTGTGCTATTTCCGCTCCTTTGAAGACCGAGTCTCGGTATGGTTTTAGGACCAGCCATACTATTTCTGCGATTCCAGCAATTCCTGTGATTCCTGCGGGTCCCGCAACAATGTTTATTGCGAAAATACAATGTATACTGAAACTCGCAAACCGCTCCATACTGTGACACAGAAAGCGATGAATCATAAATACTGCAGGAATTACAAGAACCGCAGAAATCACCTCCAGGAACAGTTTGGCCGATCCCTCAAAGATTTTGCGTCATTTGCGCACTTGTGTGACACCGAACAATGGAGAATACGCTTATTGATAAAAGTCAAACTCTGATTTCATTTTTTTTTGGTTTTAGCCTAGAAAGTGACGTAGATTCCTTTTTGTGCTAACTTGGAATTTGTATATCTACATTCAGTACAAAAGTGATTGCAGGTGGCATGCCTTGGAGGGAGGAATACGCGCAGCTTTTGTGTGAGTAGTTGTTTTTTTAGGGAATGATGCATCAGTATGCAAAAGGAGATGATCAGGAACTATTTTTCTAGATTTTTCAGCATTCCTCGACGCATGCAGCGTCACATTTCCCCTTCGTACATTCAACAACACTCCAGAAAAAGACTTCACTTCAATCAGACGCATTGCTTTTGCCTTGGAAAACATGGTGAGCACTTTGGCTAGACGGTATTGACCTAGATCCGCTAAATTTGCAGGTTTTACAGATAGATCAGTTGAAGAAACCTTTGGTTCCCTCAACGCAGGCACTTGCGCAGTCGCTTGTCTGTAAATTCAATGGACTCCATCGCCGTCTTTTTGGGAAACCAATCAGCGTTCTTGAGTACGGTACTGGGTGAGACTTAGAATCAGGGCTCGGCACAACAGGCTCCAGGGAATTTACAAAACGAACTCCCGTTTGACCCTAGACCCTAAACGTGAAAATCCCCCCAGAACACGAAACGTTGGCACAAAAAAAACGACAAAAAAAGTTGCAGTTTTTATGTCTTTCCGGCCACAAAAACGATTTCCCCTTTGTCCCAAACACGAAAAAAGCACCATCCAGTTTGACCCCTTGCCCCTGTGGCGAGCCCTGCTTAAAACGGGTACCTTTCGAAAGAGTAAGAAGGTTACAAAATTTTAATAAACCTCGAATATCAAGCAAGTTTGGTGAAGAAAAAGGTATCATCGGCTATTTGGGCTTGAACTATTTTGCACGGCAATGTTTGCCAATCCTCTTACTCTTACTACTACTCATTATATAGTTGTTGCTGTAATTTTCATGCACGCAAGTGCATATCAAATACCTTATTTATAAATGCAAAAAACCGGTGCAACATTTAACTGATCTCGTTTTCGTTCAAAATGTGGGCATAGTTTGGTGGTTGCAAATAGACACATGGACCTATATTTGGAAGTCAAACTTTGGGAGCAAAATTCTTTTGAAATTTTTTGCTGCGAAATAAGGTCAAAATTGCAGAGAAATACCTAGTACTTGGCATCTTCAAAAGTATGGTCTTTGAGCGAAAACAAATAGGTCATACCTCGTTTTAGTTCAATCCTACTCACCTCAACTCCATTCTTGGTCCAAGGAACACGCATCATTTTTGGACTGAATTTTTTTCTGACTTTCAAATGGGAGCAAGACTATAATCCAGAACTGATGGTCGCTCTTTTCTGAGTTAGAGGATGATAATCGAAAACATCTAGAGGATATCACTCGTCATCAGTTTGCAAGCATCGTTATTGTTTATACTTCTGGATCTCATTATGATTTGCATACATGACGAATAGCCATAAGCGTTGGAATATAACGGTATCAGTTTCCAAAGTTGAATAGGCAAAGTGCCAGCCATTGCAACGTGGGCAGGAGATTGATGTTTGGTTTGAAGAATAGTAAAACTTGTTGAGTTAATCCTGTTGACAGGGGAGAATGGAAGAAATATACTTGTTGCGTGTTTGTCCTTATTTTGCCATTTTTTTTGTCCGAATGCTTATTTGTCTCATACATTTTTCTAGCCATCAGACTTTCTCTCATTGGATAAAGACCTGCTCATACATTCTCGGTGGAGTTGATCAAATCAAATTTGTTTTCCTGCTTTCCATATGGGTAAAGCTGCAATGCTAATCTATTTAGCTCATTTTCTCTAATCTCTGTTGTCCTTGCTTTGCTTCCTGCACTTTGATCGTCTTGTATACGGCGCATCTTTCTAAACTATTGTTCGTCTCCAAAGCGGCTGCAAATGGAAATTTTACACTTATCGGTGCTAGAGGTTTGAAAACTTTTTCTCAAATGCCTTTGATCGTTCCCAAAATTGATTTCTATGATAAATGCTGAATCATCCTTTTACGTCGCATCGTTAGTCACATGCTTAAAATTGCGATGGCTTCTCATTTCCTATTCAAGACAGTTTCCTGCTATATGTTTGATAATTAAACACATTTTGGTCAGTGCCTTTTTACTATTTGAAGTTATCATCTGAAAGATAGTTGACCAAGATCAACAAGTTGTCTAGACATTTTTGAACGTCAAATCGCCTGAAACCCCGAAAATTACTCAAAATTCTCTCGACTTTCAAACGATGCTAGTGATTCTCCTTTGGTATGTTTTGGAAGGTTTTCTTTAGATTATGATATGCTACATCTGCGAGCACATCCATGCTTCAGTGTTCATGCCGATGAACTGTTGACTGATCTGGTTACATTTTGGTTTACTTAAAAGAAGGTAGTGGAAAAAAAGAATTCTCTTCGTGTTTAAAATTTTCTAGGATTCTCTTCGTGATGAAAATTTTCTACTTTCCTGGTCATGAATATCAGTCTCTTGTAGAAAAGGCATCGAGCTCTTTTTTCTTTCGTGCTTTCGTGTTTTTGATGTACGATCCCTTGATTTTTGTATCTCAAAGATGTATATGCACATTCTCGGTGCGAACCACACGTGCAACTGTTTGTTTGCCAGCTTATGCTTTCTATATACGTCTTGCATTCTCGTTCTTGTTTACTCGATTTGTACCACTTGGATCTCCAACGATCGCAAGAATTTTGAATAATTTCTGTAATCAGTTATTGGTTTTTAGGCCTTTTTTCTTGGGCTTCCTTGCACATTGAACTATGTTAGAACCGCTAGTAGAACCTATATCTTCTGTGAGTTTTTCTTGAGTTTTTCTCCCATTTTCAATGACTTCTTTCACTAAGATTTTTTCGCGCAGGTCCCGTATCTTCACTACTACGTAGAGGCAATTCTCGTAGCTACAGTTGTATATCTATTCATAAATAGGAGGAATTCTAGGAATCAAGTGCCGAAATTGACTGAGGAAGTAAGTATTTATCGACTTAGTTGCGTAACAAGGTTGATAGTAAATTCTTCCAGCAAAAAGATGCAATAATAGCCGCATGGCAACCAGAACCATTGGTACCTGGTACGCCTCAGGACCATCCGGTTTTGAACCAAAAGTTTGCTGATGGGTATGGACAAATCTTGTTTGCTTGCTGGTATTTTTATGATTTCTTTTTCAGGAAGATGACTAAGTATGTGAAGATTGAGGGGAAAGAATATCTGAATATGGCCACATCAAATTTCTTAGGATTTGTTGGCGAGAAGAGGATAGAGGTAGGCATTTGATGACCTAATGTCACTTGAAAAATTGGTGCGGAGCATAAGAATAATAATTCTCGGTCTTGCTTTACTAACTTACATAGGACCTATTCGAGTAAGTAGAAGGTTATTAGTCTTTTGGGTGTGGTCTACTAAAACCTCATCTAGTGAGCAGAATCACTGAAAGCCCAGTAATGAACTGTAAGCGTGGAGAGATGGGAAGAAGTCACAGTGTAGAAAGTGCGGAGCTTTTAAAGGCGGCGTCCGGGCAAGATTTCGGGTAGACTTTTTTTCGCTTACCTGGACTTATCCTTCCCGCCGATTCCGAAAATGCACCTCGGAGAGCACGAAAACGTCGAAAAGGGCTTTTTCAGAAGCTCTTAATTTGATTGTCGCCTGTTGCCAAGGCCAAGAAGCAGAGTCTTTGGGGGACCCTACGTCTTGTCTGTGTGCGGGATGCGCACTCTGGCTTATCGAACTAACTCGTCCCCGGTCGTCGGGCGTTCTGGTCGCCATTTCTGGAACGGTTTTCTCGCTTCAGAAGCAAACTGGTACATTGCCAGTTGGGCAAGAGCCTTACCAGGACGGGCGCCGCTGTACTCTACACTTTCGATTTTGCCCGGACGCTGCCCTTAATGGCTGCAAAATTTTTGGAACTTAGGATAAGAGAAACCGTTACATTCTATTTCTGCGAAAGTTGCTTCTTGTACAATACGCATGAAAAGCAATACTACAAACAAAGGTCGTCTGCAAGATTCTATGCATCTTCGACGGTTATGACTGTTATCATATCTTGACGTACTCTTTCTATCAAGCACGAAAAAGGAGTAAGTCGAAAGGAATGAAGTTCGCATTTGCAGTGTCCCAATTGTTATTTAATCATTATCTGGTCACGCATTTGTTTTGTTTTCTCAAGTTCCAAACCCTAAAGAATGAGCACTTACTTACTTATGAAGTGCATGTATTTGCTAAGAACCCTGTATTTCGATCCGGTAAATTTAGGAAGTCGCCAAAAAGACGATTCAGAAGTATGGTGTAGGCTCCTGTGGTCCTCGTGGATTCTATGGAACAGTCGATGTCCATCTGAATTTGGAAGCTGAATTAGCCAAGTATGTTCTATTGCTATTGAATTGCATCTCGTTTGCATAAATTCATAATGAAGCTTAATTTTGATAATAAGCATATTTGCGAGGAACTTTCCCATGAAAATTTCGCGTATCCAAACGACACTTCAGCCAAAAAAGGAGTGCTTTAGCCCTTTTCATTTGTACCTTTTCAGATTTATGGGTTGTGAAGAAGCTGTGTTGTATAGTTACGCGTTTGCTACTGTAGCCAGTGCCATTCCAGCTTATGCCAAGAGAGGAGATATTATTTTTGTTGACAAAGGTGCGTGACTGTTCGTGATCTTCTTCTGATTTACCGATGTTCTAGGTGTGAATTTTGCAATTCAAAAAGGTCTGCAGGCCTGTAGAAGTCGTATTGAATGGTTCGAACACAACGATATGGAAGATTTGGAAAGGTTATTAGAGGAACAGGATGTCAGAGATAAGAAGGTAGGGTTTATAGAGGTTTTGTAGGTTTTATAGCTTTTTTGAAATGTATGGAAGATTCAACCAACCAACTGCTCTTTTAGGATCCTAAGAAAGCTAAGACCATTCGGCGATTTATCATTGTGGAAGGTTTGTACGTAAATACTGCTGATCTCTGTCCACTGCCACGAATTATGGAATTCAAATGGAAGTACAAGGTTGGTTGTATTAGTTAATGATTTTTTTAAACTCTGTCTCTAAGCTGTGCTCGATCGATCTACCTTTCATCGTTAGAAGTTTGATTTTTCTATAACATTTTTCGTTCCTTCATTTTTTGAGAACTTGCAAGTATCACTCACGTTGAAAAGAGAACCTTCTAAGGTTATCAATTGGGTATGTTTATATGCGATGAGAGAGAAAAAAAGATTTATACGTCTTTGTTAACACTCTTATGATGATCCAAATTGGAATCTTCTATGTTGTCGCCCTTATCTAACTGAAATACATCTTCAAACCAGCTCAAATGTAAACTTCCTTTTCTACGCCATTCTTTTCTTCCTTTTCTGAAACTATAAAAGTGCTAAAATGTAAAATGGACCCGTTTTCCAGGTCCGTGTTTTCATCGATGAAAGCTGGTCATTTGGAGTGATAGGAAAAACAGGACGAGGTAAGTGTCTCATTAATAACATAATAACTATTATTTACATGCATCTTTTCCTATAAATTGCACAATATATCAACTTAAATAATGTGTACATATAACAAGCTCGAAATGACCGTAGTTATGAGTATCGATGTAAACCGCGTTGCTCCTGTAGAGGAATTGTTGACATCTTGCCTGGTGTCGCTTATATTTGCTGTAGATAATCGGTCACCATAGCTGACTAGTAAATCGAGTGCAACACCGTTTGTCCAGCCAAATCCGGGCTGAAAAAGACACTCAGGTTAGTACAAAAATGCATGAGACTGATTTGAATCCATTTATTGGTCTTTTTTGTTCATTTCCTTGCAGTACGATTATTTTTTTGATCAAAAATCTCGTTCTAATCAGAAACAGCATCTTTGTTATACTAAACAGATTTACCTTGCTGTAATTATTCCTGTTACTCATGTTTCATGAGGTCCTACTTTCCCTTATTTTAAACTTTTCTGATTTCTATGGCTTTATCGAATCTTGTGAAAAAAGTTCCTATTTTTTCGGCTATGAAATTGATTCTTGCATAAGTTTTCCCTTTCCCCATTCTTCCTCTGCCTAATCATTCTACTGTCACTTTTTTCTGGAAATTTTTTAATGTATCTGTGAACTGACCTGAACATCATATTCGCCTCCACCACCCAAACGTGGCTTTGTGGCTACCACATCGTATTTTTCCCACATAGCTTTGTCTGCTTGGAAAACTTGGTAATTAGCCATGACCCATTTTTCTGCTAGTACATAGGCTTTTTGTTGCAGTCTGTAATGCTCAGAGTTTTTGATCGGTAAGATGAAGATATCCATTGTTTTACCTTGGGTCGTCACTTTTACGTAATCCCTCGACCATCATATGGTTGAGAGGAGGCCAACCGTTGGGGAAGTCCCACTGTTGAGTGCTCTGCTTTTGTAAGCTGAAATATAGTCTTGCTTAGATTTTTAAATCCCAGAGTGGATTATTTTCATAAATATTTTTGCTCACCTCATTGGAAGTCCTCCGCTAAAGCTGAATACTCCTATCTCTTCCAACTTATCGTATAATTCGTCCGCCTTTTCTGTACTCAATGGCTCATAGCACTGAGTAAACAGGGGAGCAGCAATAGAAGCGTAGAAGTCGGTGTTGTGCTGTTTCGTCCTCAAATTATAGTCAAACCATCCCTTTGCGTTTTCTACCCAGAAAACTTTTTGGAATTGTCTTCGGAATTTGATGTACTCTGCGATCCATGTAGCACTTTTCTTTTGGTTTCCTAGGAAACTGTCTTTTTGAAAGCAGTTTTGCTTTGAATCTCGTAAAATCTCTTACCAAGCACACCGTGGAGATTGCCCAGGATATGAAGATTGTAGCAAATAAAGGCATTGAGATCAACTGGTATAATGTTGGTGGTCTCGATCGTGGCCAGATTTTGTTTGTCGGCAAACCATCGAATAGAGAAATCCCATCCGGATTCAGCTGCACTAGCCAGATTTTGGTAAAGAAGTCGTTTCTCGTTTTCATCCGAAATCGCTTCGCCAGTCATGACATCCTCGCGATATGATTCTGGTCTAAATTGAGCATATATAATGAATTTTACTTATTCACTTATTGATTGAAAATTAGCGAATTTTTCAGGATTTAATTTTTTTACTTTCGAAGAAGAGATTGTGAAATCTTTCGAGATATCTCGAACTTTTTCTAGTCCTTCAATCTTGTAAAAATGAAAGTTACCAACCTTGGTACAGTTGAAGGAGTTCTGTACTGGAACATGGTAATCTTCTCGTCATCTACATTGAGCGTTATTGAGCGGTTTGCCTTCCAGAAGTTAAGTTCTTTTTCAACGACTGGCAACATATCCCGGACTAATTCTTTGTCTTTTGTAGCTACGTAGTAGTCGTAAACCATCGGAGTAAACAGTGGCGGTTGAGATCGTCGCAAATAGTATATTCGACCTCCATTGGGTACGAATCCATAGGTATTAATCATATGAGCGAAGTTTAGGATCATTTCTTTAGCTGTATCGTGCATTCCGGATAAAAGAAGACCCTTGACGATCCAGTATGCGTCCCAGTAGTAGAATTCACGAAAACGTCCTCCTGGCACTACAAAACGATGAGGAACGTAGATCAGCGAGTAGCGTTCCGGATATTCCTTCACTTCCGGCTTTATTTCTCGACAGAGTTCCTTCCAAATATCATTGAGTTGAAGGGCAAAAGTTCGGAGATTATCATCTTTGATAAGCTTGAACATCTTTGGATTGGAGGTCCAGTCACTGAGATTGCAGCTGAAATTAAAGTACTTGTATGATTGTATTGAAAATGAAAGGAAGAGGTGATTTGGCAAAGAAGGGGCAACAGATCGAAGACAACGCTTGGGCAAATCTGGGTATTCGGGCTTTTTATGGGCAAAGTGATTGAAAAGTCCTAAGTAAACCATTGGCCAAGCCGCATAACTCATTCGTGGCCGAAAGAAAGTTTTCATCCAGATCGTACTCCTCTCGTTGGTTGCGGTGCTGGGCAGGAGTTTAGAACGGAATTTCTATGTTGTGAATGAATATTACGGAATGCTGCTTGGGCAGTGGCTTTGTTAATGCCTTCCACTTTGTATTCACATGGGAATTCCAAGGAGACCTAAGTTTACGTGGACACTGCCGTTGAAACTTCAAACAATGAATCTCTAACCTTTTCAACTCGTGTCCTTCCTCATCGAAATTCGCATCCACAAACGCCTTCACGTCGTCTCTTTGGAGCTGACTGACTGGTTGAGGAAATTGTTTCTCGAACTGTGCGAGCAAATCCGGACCATTACGTCCTGGTTTCATGGGTCTGTCCACGAATGTCTTTGAATCATCGTGAAGTTTGACAGCCATAACTGCTTGTAGCAGTTTCCCACTGCAGTAGATCATGTACCGCCCTGGAGCGTTGCTCGCATCGCATGTTTGAGTCTTATTCAGAACTCGTTCTTCTGCTTCCCAGACAATTTTCCTTACATCGACTGGTGCCTGAAATGGGGAAATGAAGATGGGCTGGATGTGCAAATTTGAATAAAACTTGCTACAAGATAATGATTCAAACAAGAATCACCACAGGTTCTATGAAAGATTTTGGGAAAGGTTTGAAAAATCCAGATATTCTTATTATATTCTCATCCACATGTCGACGATATCTCTGAATTCTTACGTTCAGACGATTTGATCAAAGACGTCTAGTTACAAAAGGCGCCTTATTCGTTCTAAAATGACTTTTAATAAATGCTCGGAATGGTGAAATCACTTCAAACAATTTTGAATATTTCTGTCAGTGCTTGGCACAGGTGGCTTTTAAGCAAGCTGGGTCTCGTTTTTGGGACAAAAAGCAAAGGGGATATCGCTTTTGTGGGCGAAAAAACATGAAAATTGCTTTTTTAGTCGACGTTTCTTTTTTTTAAGGGTTTTTACGTATAGGGTTTAGGGTTTAGGAAAAGAACTTCGTAAAATTTTGCGAAAGTCAAAGGGGACTTCGTTTTTCGTATTTTCAGAAAGCCACCTGGTGCCGAGCTCTGATTTCTTTTGATATGCAAGAATTATGTTGTTTTGTGGAGATACGCATGTTTGCAAATTTTCGAGTTTTCACAACGTGTATATCCGTTTTGGAGTAAGAGAAATGACTGGAGAAACACACTATCAGTAACGATATAACTATGTTTAACTGTTAAATTATATTTTGTTTGTTCTGAAAGTTGGATTTTGTCATTTTTGCAGCGTGTAGTTGGGCAGCCACGAATATACACGCTGTCTTAAAAACTCTGAACTATCTTTAGCATTTTATTGGTACTATTCCTTTTCGAAGAGGTGTTTTTTCCCCTCTCTGCGCGAAAAATTTTCAAAATTCTTCAGAAAACTTACATCTGTTATCTCTCGAATATGGTCCTCAACTAAGCTTTTATCTTCTGGACTTATCGTTGTTGATGGTTCTGCTGGTTCTGGTGGTAGTATAATATGTGCTGGTTTTGCCATAGAATATGAGCATAGTGCTATGAGCCATAGTATGGTTGCACGTTCGTTCATTTTTAACTGAAAATATTGAACTTGGATCTGGACTCATGCTTGAGATTTGTAGACGGTATTTTTGTTAAAAGCGAAATGGATCTTTGCATGATGCCAGAGGAAGGAAATGGGAGCAAATGTGCAAGTTTATGGCAAGTGGATATGTTTGTTGTAAGATTATGTCTAGTTAGAAGGGGGTAAAAGTAATGGAACACTGCGTTTTGCGTTTGAGCTCTGAACCCGATGACATTTTTTCGCATAACGGTTGTTCCAGAGAACTAATTATCGCCGTTAGGCCATATTTATATGCCTATCGAAAATTTTTGGCAAATAGTTTGGTTTTTAGACTATATCCTAATGCCCATCGCGCGGCAACTTAATCCGCTAAAGAGTAAAGCGAACCATGCGATAACGGACTGGAAAAATGAAGATGCACTGATTATCTGTCGAAGAATTTGACCATATTAAGATAACAAAAGTCACGCTATCTTAAACGCACGTGAAGATAGTGATCTTTGTGCGAGCGGCTTATAATGGACAAAGTCGAAAAGCGATTTAAATCAATGTCAAAAAGTGAATTTAAATGAAGACGTCTTGGTATGTCACATCGATTACCAGCTTTCTTGTTTTGGTCACGGCATTTTTTTCCTTTTTCCTAAACATCGTTATCACATGTGGCAGCCAATGCCATGTATCTTATTGTTAGAAGAAACAGTTTTTACCAAGGCGTTTAGACACAAATACTGAAATGTGGGGTTAGGTGAAAGATAGAGGTAGTTCACAGGAGAGCTCGACAGTTTACAGTAGGAATCAGAAATGTATACCCAGTCCATCGCTTAGGTGACATTTTTCGTAACTAGTTCTGCAACACTTTGAACGTAATGTGCCAAAACGCATGGATATGATGTCAGATGCCAATTTCTTTATGGTAGGGTTATTGATGAAGGTAATGCTCACGGGAGACTGCTATTGCACGAATAATTTTTTTTTGTTAGAAATGACAACGTGCACTTTTTTCTTTCTTCAGCTGTTAACGTCATTGTTCGCTTATGTTCGTGTCATATCGAATCAAATGTACTGTTTGATGTTTTGCAGGCAAAGTTGCGCCATTTTTGGTCTGATTAGCTGAAAGAATGTTAGAAAGATGTAACGATAGTATTGGTAGTTAAGTTGGGTCTCAGTCTAGTAATGAAAATTCTAAAATGTACAAAAATCTTACAACCGTATTCTTGTCAAGCTGTAAAAGTTTTGGCTAATATAGTGCTGAGTAACTCATGTCATTTATGGAAGTACTTTTGGTGACTTTTACAGCATGATATGTATGTATATGGAGTTATCCGTTTTGGAACAATCAACTCGAATTCAAATCCGAATTCTGGGAAGCAAATTTTTTTTATAAGAATAGTTGTTTTGGTTCGGTGGTCTCGCATCACCTCAAACTTGGATAATTAAACTTTGTCTTTAAATCTTTAAATACAACTAAAAGATGAAAGAAAAGAATACTGAATTTGGTCTTGGCTTTACCACTTTTATATAGCAATATGTTTGGGTATGTGCTCGAAGGAATAGATGATGATTGAGCATAAGTGACAAATACATGTTTTATCTTCAAAACCAATTAAAAGTATCAACATACAACCTTCACAAGGTGAATAATGTTAAGAGACTGAAAAGCGTTCGCAGAATTTATAGTAGTTAAGGCATTCGCCTTTGAAAGTAGCGAGGGGGATAGCCATGAAAGGTTTTCACAGCCCCATCGAGAGAATCGCTTATCGTGATTCGAACATGGATTTTGAGAACATTTGCGAAAGCATTTCATATCTTGTTCGTGAATGCCCTAAATTCGTTCCCGCCGGTATCAGTATATCATTTTGCTCTTTATACTCCCTTATCTATGCCAGAACATCCATTTTGTTTTCTTTGCTGTAGGTAGCAAATTCGAAGCTCGTTGCTCAATTCATCAGAACAAGGAATGGTGAGAACGCGATGCGCAGAGCTGTGATTACGGTAGCGCGAAGGCTGCGCTGCGGTACCGCTGACACAAATTCTTGGCGTACTGCTATTGCCAGCCATCGTCTTGACATGCACCCCTAGGCCAAAAAAGTGTGCCAGCGGTACCCTAGCACAGGCCTCGCGCTACCGTTGCCCCAGCTCCGCGCATGGCGTTCCCACCATTCCCTGTTTCAATAAATTGAGCAAAACAAGCTCCTAGTTTTCCACACACACACAGTAAAGAAAACAATGAGTGTTCTGGCATAGATAAGGGAGTACAGAGGGCAAATGAAATACTGATACTGATGGCGACGAATTCAGGGCATTCACGAACAAGATAGAGGTAGAGGTCCCTTCTGAAGGGTATTTGGAGAACATGGTTAGATGAAGAGAACGTGAAAGAATGAGAGCAAACCTTTAAATTGGAAGAAGCGAGGTGTGAAAAGGAAAAGTAGCTGACAGTACTTCACTGCACTTGCTATATCACTCAGCTGACACGAAAGCTAAGACAGAATGAAACGGATTTGGCTCTAGAGTTCTTGAGACGTTGAATGAGCCAGTGACGTCGTCACAAAGGCTTCCATCTTTGGCGTTTTGTAGTGTCAGCTTGTTGCTTGTTGCATGTTGACAAAGCGTCGTATGAATGGTGTGCGAAGAAACATCAAGCAATGATTACAATAGGACGTTTCGAAATGGAAAAATGGAACATCAAACTTCCTGCCTTTTTCATGGGCCGAGTGTTATCGCAAGAAAAAATTTCTGAGAGAGCTACGGAAGGTTGAGTGCTGATAAGAGTTAAGAAAAGGAATTTTTCATTGTTGCTGATAAAGCAGATATGCGTACAGTTTCGTGCTAATTTCTTAATGTGGAACTGGTGGGGACGTAACAGTAGTAGCAGTTGTAGAAACATTCGTACAGATTGTTCCAGAGAATGTACTCAATGTTTGATTGTTCTTAAAAAATGTACTCTGTTATATCGTTCCCACAGAACTGTACTCTGTTTGACCGTTAAGAACTATACTATATTGAAGTTTCCTACTTTTTGCAAGATAGTATTCGGCTATTTCGGTCAGAAATTGAAACGAAGTAACGACGCTTATTGTAAGGACGCTTTGGGAATCCTAAGTGAGGGGTAACTGTTGAGTGCAAAATTATTACAAAACTTCTAGCTTTTTCTCTCCTTTTCTTCCAAAAATATCAACTCTCATTAAAAAGGCGAAGCGCGGGGAAAAGCTCAAAATTCATATTATGTTTTACAAACAACTGAAACCTTTCCATCAGGAATTGCGATTAAAGCGAACTTAGGAAAGCATCGCATAAAAAGCTTTAACAGGACCCCACCTTTCTGTTAGCGCTACTGTTCATTAGAGTAATAAAGAGCGATGAGTGTCTGCTCCTTAATCCAAAACCAAGCCTTAAAATCGTAATTTAGAGTTATGGGAGACGAGGCATCGGAGTCATAAAGCTGAAGTGGATATAGGGCATTCGAAACACTGTGACGATGGCGCGACCGCGCGACACGCACGCACTTACATCATGGTTTTTACTTTTACTCGAATAGTTTTTCTGCTTACATAATATTCAGACACAGGAAGTGATCGAGCCAAGTACTGAGGTGATTGCCTTTTGTACGGGCATTTTATGCTCCTGTAAGTATCGCAGTCAAACCAGTCGTCACAATTTTTAGAATGACCTATAGATTTTTTGGAAACCCTAGTTGGAGCTGCGGGTTTTGCCTTATTACTCACTGCCTAAACTTGCGCTGATTTTGTGGAATGACGACGCGATGCTGCTATTCAGTGATAAAATCGTATACAGAAGATATTTTCGCTAGTAGTAAGGTTTTTCTATAAATGATGATTAAGGCCTAAAAGTACTTCTTTCCAAAAGTGGTGCATAGATTGTTGATGAGCAAAGATAATAGTGCCTTTCTTTCCTGACACAATTATCACATTGCGAGTTTGTTATCAAACTGCGGAAAAATTCCATATTTTATGTGTGTCACTGCCATTGAGAGTTGTAAGATTAGATGCTAAGTGCTAAAAATGCCCTTATGGGCAAATGTTTCGCAATAGTTATGGCCACAATCATTATTGCACACTGAACAAAGAGAGCAACCTATTGGGGTAAATGACGAGACATGCCATTCTTTCCTGTTTAAAAGGGCTAAAAGACTATCAGGAGTCGTATTTCGCGAACAAAGTTTTGAATTTGAGCTTTCACCTGACTTCGGAAAAAGTTTGAGGTCCAGGTAGTTTACACTCAGTAGAAGAAAAGTTAGAAATCGATGTTTTCTTTTGATTAGTTTTAAGATTTCGATATATTTACTAGTAAACGAACTTGTTTAGCCAAGTATGAGGAGGGCATTGGAAAAATAGCATTTTTTTGCGGGTAAAAAGCACAATTTTGGGCATTTTGCGAGTCCACCTAGACGATCTTTTGTCGATTGTTCCTTAAATGCGCGGGCGTATGTAATTTAGTTGTCCTTTACTTACACTACTATTATTGAGGAACTAGACTTGATATGCACCAATACTATTTTCTCTACCTTTGGAAGCCATCAAACATCGTCCGGTACATTGGAATACATTTGAAGGAGCAAATACTTTGTTATCATTGAGTTCTGGGCTCTTGCACAAAAAAGATTGACAGGGGCACTCTTAACAATTTTCTTGGTATGCTGGGTTCTCGTCTATAAATCTTACTAGTGGAGGAAGTAGTTGAGCAATTATCAGGTGCAGCTGCCAGAAATTCACACTTCAGAATTTTTTTGTGTCATTGAATCGCTGCTGCGTAACATGTGTCACCTTAAGGTTTAACATTTTTTTGATAAGACAACCCTCGACTAGAGACAAAAATTATATTTCTTAGAGTCATTTCTATGATTCAAGGATTAAAAACATTATGTTGGAGAAGGCATAGTTATGTACAATTTTTTGAAGGATGAGGAGTGAATTCCTTATAAAGTGATCATGCATATATAAGCACAAGGGGACGATTGTGAATATACAGAATTGATCGTTTCTATATAGGAAATCATAAATGTTTGCAGATAGTTTGAATAAACGGCAAACAGGTGATGCGAAAGATGGCAAATGTGGCAAATCTAGAGAAGCAGAAAAGCAGTAAAACAAATTTAGTCACATCGAAAACTCCTCGAAAACCTCGTGCTCTCGAATGTTGTTTTTTATCGATGCTAGAAAGCAAAATCATCGTTTGAAAGGATGACAGTAGTTGACTGTCAAAAAATTAGTGTTAGATGTACGAAATTCATATAGGATTCGTCTATAGTTTCTAATCAAATGCACGAAGTTATACATAATCAGTCTGCAAAAAGTTATAACAGTTTATGTTTAGCTTGAATAATCTCGAAATGAGCATTGATACGATATCGTGCCTAATAGTCTCACTTATATGAAACAAATGAATAATCAAAATGGAATCTTCTATAACATCCGTCTGATGTGAGAGCAAAACGGAAACAGATAGCTAATGGAACATTTTTCCAACTTTTTGTCAGCTGGATTTAGATGGGCTTTGAGTCGCTTTAGTGTTTTTTTTGGTTTCGCGCTGCTCTACTTCTTAAAAATTTGAAGTAGCTTTCTTAGATCATTAATTATCTCATCTATAATCATTTTGATTTTTCGCACGAGTATTCAACTAGGAAAGCGACGTCTTTTCTATAATCATGCAGCTTAAGTATGGGTATGAAAAGTCTAGTAACACTATTTCTCGGTTGCTTATTTTTTTAAGCTGCTCTCAAGTCGAAACTCCAATAGATTCTGATGTATGGCTAAGTCTAACGTTGTCTCTATATAACCAACGTGACGGCATGCACGAAAGATTACAAGGACGGAGCAAGGAAGAAATTATGCGAGTGTGAAGGTGATTGGGAAAATCTTTATCGTATGATTTAGCTTGATAAAATAACGAGAAGACGTTGTGGATTAGCAGATATTTATTCTTACAATCAAGTTGCAAGTATTTATTCTTACAATCAAGTTTCCCTCCCCCGCGTCAATTTATACAGACAGCAGTTATTGGTGGCAATGTTATGGTACAAAGAAGTTTTATGTGATCTGTTATGAAATGTTAGGTAGGTAAACTTTGATAGCAAAGAAATCAAAATGTTACATTGGGGCTTCTCTGCCATTTATGGAGCGTATAGAGTCTTCGAATTCAAAGAAAATTCGATTTTGAAGTGTGACGATTTTTGGCGACATTTTGAGTTTGGCTAAGGAAATGATGTAGTTGTATCTTTTCGCAGCCGTTTAGAGTCTTATAGAGTAGGAGTGAAAAAAAAAACACTACGATTACAGGCAGTAATTGCGACTGTTCTTAAGTGAAATTCGCCTCGTAGACTTTGTCGCTCCATCTATAGGGCGGATCACAGATCAGACGATTCATCGCCTTGCGATTCTTCCAGCAAGACAACTGTTACAAGTTCATCGCATGTCGATCATCTTGCATCTCGGTTGTGATAGGTTTCCGATCCGACATAATCGCAACTAACTATCACAACAAGAATTTAAGATGGCATGCATTGGCTTTGTAAGAGATGTCTTTTTGGGATGATCGCGAGGCGATGAAATCGCGTGATGTATGCCTGGCCCTCTAGACGTGTTGAAGCCTTCAATAGCAGGAGACCGACCTTTAAAGTGTTTGAAGTTCGGTTACTGCTTGATTTGCATTAGATAATCAAAATGAGGCATAATGAAGATACAAGGTTGAGGAAGGTTGGGGAATGATAAGCTGACAGTAAATAAAGCATTTATGAAGATTTTAATTCTTTTGTAAATTTGGTTAGGTCTGGCTGAGCCTAAGCAGGCTCTTCTTTAAACCATCCGCGCCAAGATTATATAGTGAAAAGATGACGACATCAGACCATAACTTCCTCCACGTGATCGAATCATTCGAGCCTAAGTATGTGGGCGGAGCGACTGCTTTTCACTTTTTTCTGTCATTTCTTGACGAATGGAGTTATCGAAAAGTCCACCTCCTCAGAAATCATAGCGAACACATGTTAAAAGCATTGCATGTCGCTGTGTCGACGGGATTTCTATGGAATGCTACCCTAACCTGCTGGTGACCGGTTGGGAGGTTTACTTAAACTCACGTGTGACTTAATTCGCTACGCTTTTACTCTAAGTGATGATGTTTTTTAACGTCAAGTAGTGGTCGATTTGTAGAAAAGGGCGAGATAGGTGCAATTAAGGAACTTGCTGGACTTTGCCCTGTGCTCAAGCGTCTATCAGAAGACCATGAGCGTACTTATTCCAATAATTATAGCATATTCAAAAAGATTCTTTTCAAACAATTTTTAGCAAAACGCATGGATTACTTTCTTACAAGATCAAGCAAACATTGTAGTCCGTAAGTTCATGCGCGAAAGAATATTTGCTTAGCAAGGTTGAGCTAATACTAGTCGTGTATTGCTAGTTTTGTACTACTAATTTGTTCAAGGAATTGTAAGCAGCGAGTGTTGTGGATTGTTGTGTACATAGCTAAATTTGTTTCCGAACTTCACACTAGCTTGAACAGCAAGGGCAAATATACGAAACTGCTGGCATTTCGAATGAAGGTGTAGGGATAAAGCTTGTTTTTGGAGCAGTCAGTTTGCTGAGTGTTCTGCTGTAAGTTATACAGGATGTCTCAAAAGTAAGTTCACACTTCTTAAACGTCAATAACTCTCTTCCCACAAAACCTTTTGCTTAGTTTTGAATACAGTTCGATATAGCAAGCTTCAATTTAGGTGCATAATAATACATCGACACATCCACTGCGCTTTGTTACTGTAGGATTACGATAGGAACCTCAAAGACGGTTTTAAGCGACCAGTGCCACATTTTGTCCCAGAAAGGATACGCATTAAGCATTAGGCCCGGTCAGACTTCACGCGACTTAATCGTCGCGACCAAATCGCCAAGATTTCCATTCATTTTCATTTCATATTCAAAAATTTCGGGCTGGAAAAGTATCACAGCCGAATGCAAGTTGATCGACATGGAATGATGTTGTAACAGTTGTCTCGTCGCGATTCAGTCGCGACGATCAAATCGCGTGAAGTCTGCCCGGGGCCTTAAGCTGAGAACTTCAGGCTAAACTGAGTTGCTGCGCACTTTTACCATAAGGTTTTTTCCATGAATTTTGCCAGGTAATCGAACAACTTTTTTTTAGCCTTTTTCAAAGTATGAATAAATTATCTGAAACATAAAAAGTCGTGAAAAGTTGTCTGTTGGATTCAGCGTATTTTGCACAAACTTCCAGATTTCTTGGGAATTTTCAACTAAGACGGCCTATTTCACAACAGCGTTGTTTGCTGGAAATTTCTACCGTAAGCCTATAGTAATGAAAAGTGATTTGCTCCATGCTTGATGCTAAGCAAAAGGTTTTGTGGATAGAGAGTTATTGAAGATTAAAAAGTGTGTACGTACTTTTGAGACAATCTGTATTATTCTGCCTGCAAAGAAAATTTTTTTGTTTATGATACTCAACGGTTGCCTCAGAAGACCTTATCAATCACCAACTGTCTTTGAACTCGTAATTGGTTCGTTTTGAAAGATAACTGTACGGAAATGTGGTGGAATAATATGATGATCTCATTCTTGTCCACTTTCAAAAAATCTTTCGTCATTAAAGAAAATTGTAAACGGTCTGATTTCTGATTTTACTTTTTTATGATGCCAAACTATTCTGCAAAAAATTGTCGGCAACATTCTCGTATCGTCAAAAATTTCGCTGAATATCAAGGCCGAAGAAAAATAAAGCTGATTTTGCTCGGAATTTACTTCTGTTACGTTATCTTAACCTTCAGAGAAGTGACTAGTACTCTCAAGGTGGGGATTTTTGGAAAAAATGAAAGAAATATCGCTTTGGAAATTCATGCTATATTTCTCCTGCGCAATTATATTGTAAATATTTTATTAAAATAGTAACTTCGTTTATGTGCAGCTGTTAGGACTTCATAGAATTGTAGATAAAGAGCAAATATTCATTCAGTAGTCATTATATGATAACATAAAGTGCGCATGTCGGTTGAGTCATTCGTAACTAATATGGGAGCCTGCACACTACGCGTAGAAACCGACGACATCCTTACTTGTAATTCCGCAATAGAACCTATTATAGCGTTGCAAAGTAGAAGTGTATAACTAATAATACATATCCAATATAATCAAAGGAGACAAGGGAACCAAAAAAAATGACTGGAAATGAACGGGTTCTAGTTTACTCCCCTTCACCTCGCTCGTCAGGTAGCGTGCATAGTATGCAGTACGCACTCCGCAATAAAACCTTTTATAGCTTTGCAAACTGGTGTGTAGTACTAATAATTATCGAACCAAATCAAAAGAGACAAGGAAACCAAAGTGGAAACGAGCGGATTCTAGATGTTATTCCTCCTTCCTCGTCAGGTAGCATGCATAGTGTGCAGTACGCATATTAAGTTACACATGACTCGAGGATATGTGTTTGTTGGCAAGTATACCAAGCGGAAATACTGAATTGGAAGAAGTCTCGAAAATAAGGCCGAAGGAGCTGAAAAACGAGTCTGTAAAGACTTTAAACGGCAAAAAAATGTGGCCGCTGACTGTTCTTACTGTTCTTAACAAAGTGCAATGCAATTTTGACTCGCATCAGACTGAACAATGACACTTTTGTGTTTTGCAGGTGTGACGGAATATTATGGTGTGCCAATCATTGACGTGGACATGGTGATGGGATCGCTGGAGAATGCCATGGCATCGACAGGAGGTTTTTGCGTTGGACGCTCCTATGTGGTCGGACATCAGCGATTATCAGGTTAGAGGACTCAGAGTTGGTTGTGAGGTCTAGTCTGTTAAAATGCACTTCAACCCAGGGTAAAGATTTTTTTAGATCCTATCCAACAAAAAAAAAATTCAAAAAAGTTTACTTCTGCTGGAATAATACACCTGGGAATATTGTGTCATGAAATATTCATGACGGTAAACCTGTTTGTTTGTGGAATAATCCACGAAATACGGGGACAGAACAGTCACGTGGCGATTGTTTGTGTCCTTGATCACTTGTGTCTGAACTACATGCGCATTATAGCCGCCAGGTATGATTACTGATAATTCGAATCAGGCGTAGTCAAGTTGTAAGTCATGAGCTTCTGAGTTGTAAAATTGTACCTGTTTTTGTAAAATTGCATATTTATGGCAGGATAGTCACTATGCCCGCTATGTAATATCGCCGAGTATATGGGCGGGGAAGTGTCAAAAGGGCGGAGTTCGCCAAGCAGATTTGCCAATTTTTTGAAGGCAGGTGCATAGTCAGGGGAAATTGAAATTCATTTTCGAATGCGCTGGGGCGGAGTTGGTAATTTATTGCGAGCATGCGGGTAATGAGGGTGGAGTTACGCATTTTCAACAAAATGCAGTGAAAGGGGCGGAGTTTGCGAATTTTTAAGGCACAAGCTCGCAAATACTTTTCTCGCATTTTCAAGCGCTTTGCGAGTCAGCTCTAAATCTGTGGAATAAATATCTCTTTGAATAAAGCAAAATTTCTTATTTCTCAATAATCTATCTCATTTTTTCCATTGTATGCAGGAAGCTTGATCGATGCCTTATGTTTCAGGACTTGGGTACTGCTTCTCCGCTTCCCTTCCACCTTTACTAGCTACAGCAGCAAGTGAAGGACTAAGAATGATAGAAGAACAACCAGAAAGAATAGAGAGATTGCAGCGACTTGCTGTGGCTGTCCATCGTGGATTGCTGGCAGCATTTGAGGTGCATGAACCGTTTAGAATTTTTTACCCAGCTGTGAAAGACTCGAATTTCAGGGAACAAAGTTCGGCGTACAGGGTGTTGAGATTAGTCCAATGAAACATGTCATGTACAATGGAGAAGATGCTGAGAAAAAGTTAGATATGTTTGTTGATAAGGTGAGTGTTTGTGTTTTCATACAATAAGCTACAATAACACCCAGAAACTGCAGTAATCCTCATTTTTTGAGTTTTTACAGCACTTTTTCTGGTTTTTGTTACTTTTTTTCCTTTTTTACTGCTGTTTAGCATTCTTTGATTTTCGGTTTCACTTCATAAGTAGTGATACACAAAAGTATACTATTTTTCTTTTTGATTGCCATGCCCGTTTCTTCAATGAGCAGGCACGTTTTATCCTTTCCGCTCAAAATATTTTCTTCAATTTTCTAAAATGTTGTTGCATTTTATTTGAAGTACTCTTCTTACAGCTCTTCGATGAAGCATCAGTCATGATCACGCGTGCTCGCTATTTGGAACACGATGAAATGTTTCCTATCAAACCAAGGTGGGTAATTTTTATGAAAAAAATATACAATCTCATCTCTTCTTTTTTTGCATTTGGCTTTTTCCATTTCCATCATCATCTACAAGTCTGCGCTTTCTGTTGGTGCAAGCTTCACAACGTTCAATCTTTTTCAACTTATAAAGTTTGAATGACGGTGTAATTCGAAATATGTATCGTACTTATTTCGTTGGTTATCAAATCAAAAAAATTCTATAGCATATTAAGCCGCGTTTTTTTTGTGAACTTGGGCATCCGGTTATTTTGTGGTACCATACTTGCATGTAATGTTCTTAGGCTGCTTCTTTTATAATTTTACAATTTATTCTGTTTGCACCTTTTTAATGGTTTGTACAAGCGACTTCTGTCATTATTTCGCATAAACATGATTTTGGGTTGTTTGCAGTGCTCGTGTGATGGTGCAATCGGAAATGACAGACGAGGAAGTGGAACGTGCTCTGGTAGCGATTGCAGGTGTTGCTGAAAAGTTGTAGATTGTTTATACTTCAAGCTGCCATCTATTTATCCCTAGTCTCTCTATATTCACAGCCTTGAAATCGCTTAGAAGAATTGTTTTATTTCTTAAAAATAGCACGATGTTGCTTTATCGCTTCAAGATTCTGTGAGTTTATGTCCATTCCAGTTATGATCAAATTTTGAATTGAAATTCTCTGATCACTTGCTGCTAGGTGCGTGAGTTCTACTTACGTATATGTCTTCTTCATTCCTTATGCATGATGACGTGATTAAATAAGATTGTGATGAGTTGTGGAATTGCTCATGTTGCTAATAAACATTGTTAGACATCTTAAACTTTGTGACAAATGCGTTCTCTTCGATCCATATTTCTGACGTTCTCACTGTTCTTACAAATTAAATGTCTCTGGATGAATTTTAGCTCTTTTCGGCTATCCGAGCCTCAACATTTGAAAACCAGATTCATAAGCTCAAGCCTTTTGAAACGATTATCTTGTTCTGGGTTACGATAGGTACTTGGTAGCTGAAAAAGATTGGCCTAAATGTTTTTCGAGAACGCTTGAGCGACGCTTACCACACTAAATACACTTTCTCATGGCACGCCATTTTTTGGACACGGTAGATGTACGGTATGAGTCTCCCCTCAGAGCGGGAATGATGCCCTCTCCCTCCCCTCTTCCTCGCCTTAACAATCATTACATTCATGTTCAACATATGGTGCTTTGTGCAAAGATTAGCAAAATCTGAATTTTCATCGTCCACCTACCGTAACCTCAAAGAAAAGTCCGAAAATGCCTGATGAGTACCATTCTTGTGATCAGCCTGCTCACTTTAGGCAATTTCAAACGAAATCCTAGATCAAGTGTTTTCAGTTCGGATAGCCCAAGAGGGTTGAATTTGACGAAATGTGATTTTTGCTTAAGTATATGTTCAGTGGGATATCTGGTCTCTGTCCGCTATCTCGTCATTCATCTGTTTCAGAGAGCGATGAGATTTTGAAGATGTACAAAAGTGTGTTCCATATTCTGGCTCGCATCCGGCGCACTGCTTGCTCGACGTTCTCGCTTTGCGCTGGAGCCAAGCCTGACAAAGTATCTCGTCGTAGCGGACATAAAAGAAGTGCACCAGTGGATGAAGCAGAAGCCGGTATACCAGATAACCATGCCTACAAATCTGAGGACGAAGGATCATACGCTTATGAGCGTAAGTTCAGAGTTTTTGAAGCATTTTTTTGAAATTTCTTATTGATCATTTAGTCATTTAGTTTGACTTTTTGATCCTCCACTTTCAAAAATTAAAACACGCACACTATACCTAACGTGCACCAAAATTCTTAGTCCTTTGTAAAACATGTGAGTTCAGAATTGCTTATCCAAAATCATCAAAAAAACACTATACTCATATTATTAGGCTGTTACATAAGTTATGTTATACTGAAGTGCAAAATTACTTTCTATATTGTGAATTTTTGTTATTTTCGTTTTCGCTAAATTTTCGTCACACTTGTAGAATGCAGTAATTAGTTTTGGCACAATTTTAAAACTTGCGTTTTCGAAGGCGTTAAACTTTTGGCTGGAAGTCCAAAGGAGTCATAAAAAATCTTTAAAAAATGAGTTTAATAGAATGAGAGGATTGCCAAAAATAAAAGAAAAAGTGAGGATTGAAATGTCGCTGAGAAACTGCATTGATATTTACTATAACTCATGTACTCGAAGGCAAAAATGACGTTAATGAATAGCCCTTCATCCCTTCCTCATATATGCCAGGTGAGACGGGACAAATTTTCTGGAGCTTCCCGAAGGAAGACATAGGAGGTACAACAGAACTTATGTAACAACCTAATATTTTCTCAGACAAAATCAATTTTTTATTATTAACAAATTCAAATATTGAGAAATATTTTTGAATGCACTTTTCCTATAGTTTATAGTCCATTTTCTCAGCCACTCCCGCAAAAAGAGAGCGTCAAACGCCCGACGAAGCTGAGCCTGCGATAGAGCCGAGTCTCAAAGTATGCGACATCGACCCACGTGTTACCTATGAAGGAGGAAAGTACATGGCAGAGTGGGTGTTGCCTCATGCCGTTTTACATCATTCCAGACGCATAGAAACGTAAAACAATGCTCCGCTTAGAAAAACCGCGTTAGTCAGCGGTGTCGAATTTCATCTTGACATTACATCACGTTTCAGGCGTTTTTGTTCGTCTGAAAGCAATTCAGGCTGGCTAGCATTGCTTTGAACTTTTTGAAATTTTTCTAACGTCATGGTTTGGGGATTTTATATCTCAAGTAAGATGGAAGGGATATGTGCATTGATGAAGCTTGGTTAATAGTGTAAGACGATGTAATGGGTTGGCAAAATGTTGAATCATTCTCACCATGCTAAATACATCTGCTTGCGCGAATATCTCGGGAACCTTCGATTTTCAAAAGCTGATTCAAAGTTAATTTTATTGAATGTGCGTCGAGTGTAAGAAGCTAAAGACAAACATAGCATTTATATTTACTAAATCGAATTTCTGATTTTAATATCATCTAGAATTCTTATTGTGAAAGCGCACTTCATGAGCAATGAATAAATACCAATGTATACTCTCAAAATTCATTCCGATGATATCTGAGACATAGCAGTAAATAAATAATGAAAGATGTAAAAGGAAGTGGAGTAAGGCAAAGAGTCTACAGCAAGCTTTAACTTTCCTTTACTTGTGGCAAACCCAAAGCATTTTGCAGATACTATGTACCCTCGGCATTCCATGGTAAATTCTTGGGTTTACGCGGAGATCTGCGCCAAGAAATAGAAGAATCGACTGATTGCCAGCTTAAAATCCCCAAAAAAGGCCAAACAGGGAATGTTGGTAGGCTATTGCGAGCACAGAACATCTTTTCAAGATAAAAGTTCAGAGATCGAGTCATCTGTTGGACTTGAGAATGTGCAGCGATGTTTGGATCGACTAGAGCTGCTACTGATTGACGCCAAAAAGAAGGTAAGCTGATTTCCCCTCCGACCAAAAGTTTTTGAAATTTTTAGGCTAAAGTTACACACTTTATCGCAATACCCTGCACAGCGCCGGAGATCGTTGAAGCATTTGAGAAGTTTAAGGAGGCGGTAACTGTCGATGAGCGTATTCCAGTAGGTCTAATTATCTTTGAACTTCCAAAGTTATTTTAATCCATTTTTTCGCTTACATTTTACTTTTCAATTTGTTAAAGGGGATCATTTTGCCTTAGTCTTGAGACGATTTTTTTTTGAGAATTTGAAGCATATTTTCGATAGTCTAGAGACAGGGCGCCAAAAGTGAAGGTTGTTTGAACATCTGACGTCACAAATGGTGAAGGTTGTTCAAAGAAGATCAGAGAAGAGAATATGACGTAAAACAGACATAAAAAGCAAAAGAAACGGCTGTAAACCGGATAAAAACGCTGCAATAAGATTTGAAATCTTTCATTTGGCGGCTTTACAGAGTGCAAGTTTTCGCTCCAGGACCAGCAATTCTCAACACGGGGTTTTGATTTTTGATGCGTCCTTTAAATTTTTACCCCCGCGCCGTCCCTCTTGTACCCTGCGACGTTGTCTGGATTCTTCCACTCATCATTCTGAGCAAGTATCGTCCAAGCTGGAGAAAATTCGTTGCGAAACTACTGAAAAAGAATAAGGTAAAGAAAAACGCATTTTTTTAGTAATTTCTACAAAAAAAGCGGCATAAGCAAAGAAATAAGCTCGGCGACGTTGTCTGCATTATAGACAGAAACAAGATCTATCGACTACACAAAAAAACTGCGTGAAAAGAGTCAAACTAGGAGAAAAACGAGAGATTTTCAAAAACAAGGTTTTTGCCGGATTTCTTGTTTAAATCATAAAAAGGAGTCCTGCGACGTTGTCATCGTGAAAATAGAGATCAAGAGCTTCAAAATGATATATAGCTTGATAAAATTGGGTTCGAAACAGCGAAGAAAAGGGTACCAGAGCCAAATGCCCCGCGCCCCGCGCTTGGGGTAGCGAGGTAGCGCGCAGCGCGCGGAGACGCAGACGAGCAGCGGAGAGAGACCAGAGCCGGCGGGGCATTTGGCTCTGGTCATTGATCTCCGCGGGGTCATAACGAAACCCTATAATATTATATATCGTTGTGATCCTCATGACACGGCCAGGAGCACTGACAACGTCGAGGGTCTTGAATCTCACTCCATAACGAGATAGACCAGCATTTATGTGGCGACTCTCTGCGCAAGATTTCAGCGCAGTTTCTCGTTTTTGTTGAACTCCAGCGGCTTTCATGAACCTCCAACGCTCAATCGCAGTCTATAGAAAGGTTAACTGATAAGTTTTATCCTAATTTCTAACTGAATCTTTGAAGAAAAACCCTCTTTTCAGCAAAAAAGGCCATGAAAACGCAATCTTTCGGTTTTTTGAGCTTTTCTTTGGATGTCACTACTATATGCCTCATTCACATTCATCCTTACATACTTAGTCATTAGTTATGTCATAATATCCGGGGCTTCGCCCCGGATGACTTGTACTCCTCTCCAGGTGAAGGTTGTGTCCTCTCATAACACTCAAAGTGAAGGTTACCAGAGTACGTGGCTCTATGTATCGAAGGTATGATTTGAAGAGTTGACAAGTAGGAGGAACTAGCTGTCCAGACAGTTCGAATGAAAGTTTTACTTTTGAGATATGTTGTTGACCTCTTGTCATTCCTAACCATATGTCCCTCAGAACTTGTCATCCCTTATCATATGTCCTTCAGAAAACATGGGGGAACAGCTGTTTATTGTGTTTTCCCCAGGCTTTCTCCTTTTTGATGCTCGCTTTTTTTAAGGAACGGTCTCGAAATCCCAAACTCTTCACTGCTCCTCTCAAATTACACATTACGGTGTGCGTTCTTTGGCTTTTCGACGAGGAAGAGCAGAAGAAGGCGGCCGATGTCATCGAAGGTTGTCGAAAGGAAATCATGTGAGGATCCGTCATCAGGGGATTAGGGAGAGATTAAGATTGTAATTGGCTTAACTTAGTGGGTGCTACGCGTTTCCGTATACTCGTGACGTATTTCCTGCGCTCAGAGTTAGTCTTCTAGTCCTGAACTCAGATGTAATCTAGAAATCAAGTTACACATCCCGACTTGATAATGTGATTGAACACATGGTTTGTTGTGAAGCGCTTTTTTCCAGCAAATGGACCGAATGAATAAGCAAATCATCTGAATAAAATGACATCATCTGAAATCGCTGGAAAGTGCTTTGAACTTCTCAGCTCAATTTTAGCTCAGAGATGGTTTGCGCGATGAAGAGCTTTCATTATCTGAACTGAACTTGGCCAGTAAGCGTACAGTGGACGTAAAAAGGATACCACTCATAATTTCAAAAAGTCATTGAATTTTATTGAAGTTTACCGAAATCTTCGTCGCCCATATCTTGTTTCAGAAAGATCAAATTCTTGATCCAAAAACATTCGATTCAGCTCGGCGAGGCTCTTTTTCTGACATGTAGAAGTGGCCGTTCGGATACGGTAGGTGCAAGATTGGCGGTCAGGTTTTACGGGTGCGCTTATTCTTCGCACACTGAGTGACCTATCAAATTCGAAAATTTGAAAAGATCAGTGTAATCTGACCGCATACTGTATCCAAACGGGCGCATTCATATAGAAATGCGCCTTGGCGGGCTGGGTCGAGCGGTGTCTTTTTATTAAAAATTCGTCCACTGTGAACGAGGATATGGCGATGCGAAGCGGATTTTGGGAAACTTCGGTGAGTTTCGCTGATTTTTTTTGACGAATTACGAGCGGTGTCCTACTTCTCGTAGAAGAATCCAAATGTAATTTAAGGTAAATTACTATGAATGCGTACCCTTAGCCAGCCGCTTGCGTTCTGTACTACTCAATCCGCTTAGAACCAATTAATTGTGTTTCAGTGCTACCCTACCTAAGATTCCCTACGAGGTTGAAGTGAATGGTGTTGAAGGATTCGATAACAAGTCGACCAATCTCAAAGTCTTATACGGCGGAATACACTCAGAAGCGTAAGTTTCGATAATCTGTACACAGTAGCATTGAGCGCGGTTGGGATGCCGTCACTCGGACTCTACTTTTGGGAAAGTAAACTTTTAAATAGCTCTCCAAGGAAAATCAAAGCCTGTAGTCTAACCTAACTGCCCGGATAAGCATTCAAAGCTCAGTTCTTTATAATGGAAGAGGGGCGGGACCCCTAAACTTTAACAATCTTTGGGTTTTACGCTTTCATGAAAGCAAGATGCTGTAGGATCGCCCTAATTAGTATTACATTTAGTTTGCAAAACGTGTGCGATTTGTTACGTAGAAGGCTCGTCCAAGCTGGAATGTCTCCGGCAAAGGAGAAATCCAAATCGACTTTGGATTCACCAGTACGAATGCACATGACTTTGATGAAAAGCACTTATGCTAATCGGGTAAGAGTTGCTTGGGTTCTGACATTTTTTCGCCGAAGGAAATTTTCCAGAGGAAGCCGAAAGCCTTTGATGCGAAGCTCATTTTAGACGATTACAAAGACTATCATTTCGGAACATTTGCTGTCGACAAGGTTGGTATACTTTTTACAAAAGGCAGATATGTATCTTGGTGAAAATTCCCTTTACAACTTTTGATTCGGGGTTTGTGATGGAATGTAAACATCTCGTCAGAAATTTTGTTGGGATGCTTCCTGTTTTTCTTCTCTCCTTACCAAAGGAAATCTTGTAGTCTATTCCGTGTGGAACCGCTTTTGTCGTTTCTATGCTAAGGCGGCGCCCAGAGCTGCCCATGTGCCGAAGCTGCTGCCAATTCAGCGCGTGCCAGCGCTGTGCTAGCGCCGTTTAGGCACTTACGTGGACGCGCTCGTATTGATTGGAATTTCCGGCACGACGCTGGCTCGGGCAAGTTTGGGAATCCAGCCCGGCGCGGTTTTGGTGTACAATCCGACTCCGAATCACATATCTATATACATACTTTCATGGATTGGAATTTCTATCCCATTTATAAAACAATACGAAAAAAAACCTTAGTTCCTAACAAATTCTTTTTCAACTATGGGGCGACATCTGAAATAACATCGTAAATAAATTAATTAATAAAATGAGTTTTTGATTTTACCTACACTTACCCTTTTAAGAAGGTCCTTTTTGATAAATCCTTTTTTTTATAATAAACCAATTAGCTTCATCCATACTGGAACTCAGTAAAAGGCAAATCATCTTGCCTGATGTACCAGAGTTTGTCTTTTTATTCAATGTGGTAAAGCAGTAAGGGTGAATAAGATCCTTTGAAATCGAAGATTTTACTTCATAGGAGAGTTTTCGAAAATAATATTGTATTCCTAGATCTACATATGCTCAATGCAAGGTATTGACAAGGAAACTGGTTTTTACCAAAAATGTTACGAGATGTCATTGCTGTGAAACAAAGTTTTCGCGGAGCTTGTAAATGCTAGTGATTGTTTTTTCGTTTGTTATTTCCGCCATTCAGTGCTCGTTGTAAATTTTATGCTGTTTGAATCGTGTTGTCAGCAATTTCTTATGTTGTACAGGCTATATATTACAAATGTAAACGTTATTTGTTGATCTTCTTTTAATTACCTAACCTCAACATTATGTCCTCATTGTGCCCATCATATGAAATGTACTACCTTACCTTGTAGAGACAGATCTATTTTCCCAATGCCTTCTTGAATAAGAGGCGCGGGGACCTTCGCGAAAGACTGTTGGGCCTAATTCGTAGCTTGTTACGGCCCTATTCGCACATTCATTGTTCCAAGTGATTCACGTTTGTTACATATTGCTCATATGAGTTTCCGATGTCTAATGTGTCATAGCACAATAGCAGAGCGGGAGAAATATGCTTTGATGAAGTAACAGTAGAGAGGCCTTAGATCTTACAGTAAAATATGATTTCTACCGCCCTGCATATAATCCGTTTCCCTAATCGAAATGTGCTTGTATCATTCGTTGTTGAAGGAAGCATGTTTGCTTATTTACCTTGATTGTAAGATTTGTTTTAACATAGAATTTACCTTGTCGAGTTGCCAACTATCATTGTCAGCCGCAGATGTCAATTTTTCGGCTTACCTATAAGACGCATTGACGTCTGAATCAATATAAAGCTGCACACTTTGATAATAAAGATTATAAAGCTGTTTAGTGAAATTTGTAATAAACGCTGAAATCGACATGTCTTTCTTACCTTAGTGGTTTCTGCTCGAAATGATTTCTGATCACTTAAAAAAGTAGAGGCGGAACTGTGGGTCTAGCTTTGTTCTTTTCCCCTTGAGAATCAGTGCCTAAGCAAATGTGGATGCATCAGTTTCTTATGCGGGAATCAATTTGGTCAAATCATTGGTCAAGCGGCAGTTTATATAATCTTGTCGTGGCGAGGAAATCTCTAAACCCTCACCCTTTACCGTACTACGGAATTTGATTGGATGCTAGGAAAGCGCGCGGTGTGGGCGAGAATTTGATTAAAATTGAATTGATTAAATTGTGTTACTCAGCCACCACTGATCATGATATGGCCACCATTGGCTGCTGCTCAAAGGCAGTGTCTCACCAAAATTTAGTTGCCGAGATTTTTGCATTTTGCATGCCTGCCGGACCCTGTCTAGCATTGTATGGGCTTAAAATCGCACGAAGTTCCCAAAAACCCCGTTTTCTGGAGGCCCCGCCGAAGCAACATGGACGAGTTGTGCCTTCCAATTTCAGCCCTAGCCACAGTGGCAGCAACAGAGGGAGGTGGATGCCAACTGGAGGGACATGTTCAAACGCGTAAGGGGGTAGACCGAAGGAGTCGTCCTCGCGTACAAATCGCTCTTCGCGTACCACTTTGAGCGAATTTTTCTCAGCGTGGAGGGGGTCAAATCGAGTGGGACTTGTTGCAATGGCCTACTTAGAGGTTCCTCTAATAGAATATGTAAGATCCGCGCGGCCTTAACTTTGTTGAGACACTGCCTTTAAGCAGTTGCGTGCACTTTGCTGAGACACTGCCTTAAAGCAGTTGCGTTCTGCTTTGGTTTGTTAAATTTCAGGCTTGGTCAAAATATATCACGGAAAGTCTTACAAAGTCTTGCCTAGGGTAGAATACCTGCAAAGTTGTTCATTTGTTTCATTTGATCGTTTTGCAGCTTTGAAATTTTGGCATTTTGCTCTGAATGGCGTGGTTTTTTTTAACGAATTAGAAGAATTCTATCAAAATTCGAAAGATTGTTTTGGTTAGTAAGCCTACTTTATCAACTACATAAGTTTGCAGCTCCCATATCCATATCTTCTCTCGGAATCTGGTTGAGTTTTTGATGATATCTATTCTAGACGTGCAGGAGAAATTGCGTCATGTACAGAGCTTACGTAACTTTATAGCGTACTTCTCGCATGACATCGTTTCCGCTATATGCTGAGACGTACAGGATTGGAAACAGGGTCTATCGCCGCAACGAATACAAAGGAAGTACACGCAGTAATGTAGCAGAAACCGGTGATACACCAGACATGTACGCGGATGAATTTGAGGATGATGGACCGTGCGCCATCGAGGGTAAGTGGGAGGTCTAACTTACACTTATTGTTAGATGCTTCAATTAGATGGCCTGTCTTCACTTAGCGTGCAGGTCACAGCACAGAGTTGCCATGAATCCCTGTCCCTCGGTTCTGGCATCTATGATCTTCTTGGTTGTTGTCGGTGGTTGCGTCGGTGAGTTTCGGTTGAGATTTCGTATCCAGCTGATTTCACGGGTGGTCCATCCGTTCCAGGAACACGTCTGCCCATCTTACTGGTGGTCTTCTTCGGGAACGTTTCGCTTCGCGAGAATCCACTCAGATGTTCTTAGTGTTCATCTGTATCTGTTCCTTCAATGATGTGATCGGACCGACGATGCTTCGCTTTCGCAACGTAATCCTTTGGATCACAAGAAGATTCTTCTCATATCGTACTGCAAAATCCGAGAAGATATTATTTGTGTCGGGTCATCTTCAAAAGATTGCGCTTCAGCGCTTTGTGGATTGTTTATAAAACTTTCGACGTACAGTTCGACGTTGGCTCAAGTCTCAGCTGAGCAACAGAGCGCCGGGAGCGGTTGAATCGAACAGGTCGAGCTCGAAGCTCCGAGTCCTTCAGTTGGTCGGTGACTTTCCAGAAGCTCTAAGGCGGCCTAGGCTTCTCTTCTTCCCCTGTCGAGTTCTTCTGCCAAATCGTTCTCCTTGTTCATTGAACGTCCAAGGTACACGTGATAAGCCATCTACATGATAGGTTTGCCTTCCAATTCCGTTTCTGTATCTTCGCAAAAGACGTTCTCCAGAACTGAGTCTTTTTCCGATTTATTCGCAATTCAGTCTTATGAGCATCGTATATGCTTCAGTAATACTGCTCGGGAAAAGAACGGTGCTGTCCGCTAAGGTTCAAAAGGAATCTCCTGTTAACTCGTATGCCTCTTGTCCCAGTCCAGTGGTTCCATCACCCAATGCGAGGCCCCGATGAATAGCTTCGGCGAGATTGTGTCGCCTTGATGGACCTCTTCCAAACTGGTCAAAGGGAGAAAACACTGGCATCGTCGTTGCTCAGTCCCTGTAGAAGTCGGCTAATGTCACATACACTGGGTTAGCCCTCGAACGACTACCGCTGACAGGATGGCGTTGGTTTCGACGTAATAACTTTTTTATGATCGACGTAGTTGGGACGAGGAGCAGTCGGTGTTCCTGGCGGACTTTTATGACCCTCGAAACCTTTTGAATATGATCCGTGCAGCTGAATCTTTCGCGAAATCCAGCTTGTTTTTGGGGCTTGGCTTCCCAATGTTCTGGATATGCAAAAGAGGACAATCTTTGCAAAAAGCTTGTACAGCATACTCAGCAGGCATATTGGACAGTGGAGGACGATAGATCCAAGGATAACTCGTTCGCTTTGCTTAGAAAAGGACGGTTCTTAAAATCCTCCATTGGTTGGGAATTCTTTGGTTCTGAATGTAAGATGTTAGATAGGACTCGAGAATCTTGTATAGACGCTGTCTTCCGGCTGGCAGAACACAAAAAGATGATTAATTTATTTCGGAGCGGTCGACTTCTTCATGGTCTGAATCGCCGTGCGTACTTTAGCAGGTGAAATGCTTAGTAATACTTCTCCACTGAGAAAGCGTGCATGGGCACGAGTGTTGATGTGCGGAAAGTTTGGTGAAGGACTTCTTTGCGATAGATTCCATTTTATATGGGGAAGAAGTCGGGCTTCCTTTCGTTCAATAGTGCAGTCAACGGCACGTGATATTCAGGAAGGTCCTTTTGGCACTTGCACTTCTGAAGACTTCGTCTTCCTTCGGCTGCTTCCATTATCTTGGCTTGCCTGTACTTCTTGAGGTACTCCTGCAAAACTGTTTTGCAACTCATTAGCTATCAGTGGCTCCAAATGGGCTGCATCCAGTCACTATTTGATTTGATTTTTTTTCCAGCTTGATACCTTCATAAGCGGCTTCCTTCCTTCTGGCGGCACTGTGGCAGACCTTCTTTTCCAGCTTTAAAGCGTACCTTCACTCGAGGAGACGATGGTCGGAGCCACTACAGAAGGTTGGTACTACCGGACATCGAGCAAGCTCCGCTTTCGGTTGGTGAGAATGTGGTCGATCTCCGTATGAGTCGTTCCGCTGGGAGCCCATCCGGCGATGTTCTTTCTTCGGGAAGATGCAATTTCCACGGAAAAGTCGTGCGGCAGAGAAGCCAAACAAGACGGTTGCCGTTTTTGTTTCGGAGCCCATACCCATACTTTCCAGTCCTATATTCCTCTTTTCGCCCACAACAAGCTTGTCAGCTGCTGATTTTTGTGAGTAGCATTTGATGATGCTGATGTTCTTCTGACGTGGAGGTCGTAGTCGTAGGATGGCTAGTTTAGGTGGTATCTTATGCATCGACATGGACGATAGATGGGTGGACGACAAAGCTAACGCCTCCAACATTTCGTGATCGAACCTTCTCACCACAATTGATGAGGGTCCCACCACTCATCTGTCGCACGTCCTTCTTCCTGGACTTCGTTTCCTGCAGAGCGATGACGTGGTACTTGATGTGCTCTGCAGCGTCGAGAAGAGCATGGGGGTGGCGTTAATGGAGATTGTTCTGCGTTGTAGGTGCAGAGGATGAGGCATTATATCTACGGCAAGTCCTCCCAAACTTTTCGTTTTTGTTTGATCCAAGTAGTGCAACCAACATTACATTTCTTATTATCAACTCCCGTATTGAATGAAATCTTATCTGCAGGATATTTTTCAGATTTCGCCAATCTAGTAAGTGGGTTTCTCCGACGGCAGCAAGCTTACTAGGTCATGCTCCTGCTCTCCTGGGGCGAGCGAAGAATTTAGAATGTGGGGTGTCTTTTCGCTAACGATTCTTAACAATTGTTGAATGGCGGAAGACGTGACCGAGTGCTTTTGGCTAGGCATCCGACAAAGTAAATTCCGAAAACTTCGAGACCCTTTGGGGCTCGGGATCTACCACCTTGTGCTGTATACTGTTATCCGGGCTCGCCCGAGTGTTTTTTCTTGGGCCGCGGGTATTCCGATAGATCTCCGCGGCCTTTCCCTAGCGATAACATTGAGCCGCTGGTCGCCAGTCAAATAAATCTGGGGCCGTGAATGGTCAGTCCAAGAATTTATCGCCCACGCACCGCCAAAAGGCACCGTTAGGGGCCACGGGTGCGTGCAGTCGACATCCAGTGTCACCCTCGCACCAGATAAGGCAACAGACCGTAGGGGGGGGGGGGGGAGAATGGGGGATAGAAAGAAATAATTTTCTTGTATAAAACTAGTCATGTCAGCAAATAAAATTGATTTATATCATTTCAGCTACGCCTGCGATAGACCCGAAACTGCCCGATGAAGTTGAGCCATCTTCCGAACCGGCTCGTAAAACATGCGACAGCGATCCACGTATCACTTACGAGGGAGGAAAATATATGGCTGAGTATGGTTTTTTAAAGGCAGTGTCCGGGCAAAAACTCGATTTTGAGATTTTTTGCTTACTTGGGCCTATTTGCTACGCTGAATCCGAAAATGCACATTGCAGAGCGCGAAAATGGCGAAAAACGGCTCTAACACAGGAGAGAAATGAGCAGGTGGGCGGGGTCCTCCCCACTGCGAATTCACGTTCCCAGCTTCCGGAGCGACCTTCTCGTTTCCGGTTTCAAGTCAATCGTTCGCACTTGGCCGGTAGCGATGTTAGAACGGTCAGCGGAATCGAGAAAATCGCTCCGGGAGCTGGGAGCGTGAAATCGCACTGGGGAAAGCCCCGCCCACCCGCTGATTTCCCTTCTATATTAGAGCCCTTTTTCGCCGTTTTCGCGCTTTCCAATGTGGATTTTCGGATTCAGCATGGCGAATAGGCCCATATAAGCACAAAATCTCAAAATCGAGTTTTTGCCCGGACACTGCCTTTAAATCTTTTCAACACAAAGAAATTCTGAGGGGCAGAGAGGGGTTGGAAGGCACGGAGAACATCGCCCAACGTTGATGCATCGTGTTACATCGCTTTTAATTATTTTTGCAAGATTTTAAATTGCAGTTAACTGCAGAGTTTGCCGCGGAAGTTATAGAACCTATACACAAGACGTGCCACAATCAGAGCAATCAATGAAAGCAGGAATAAAAAGGGATAAGCTTGTCTAGACTATTATGGAATTATGTAATTGGTCTAGAGGCTCAACGGGGTCTGTCTTACTTAACTCAATTTTGCTCAAAAAATGTGTGAAAAAAAGCAAGAGGCATACGTGAGGGATAAAAAAGCTTTTAGAATCTACGTGCCCTCTGCTTTCCATGGAAAACTCGTGGGCATGCGCGGAAGCATGCGTCGTGAGATCGAGGAGTCCACGGAATGTCGGCTCACTATTCCCCGTAAGGGACAAAAAGGAAACGTTGGTACGTATCTGTGCGTTAAGAATGCTTCTGAGAAATCATCGTTATGTAGAGATCAAATCATTTGTTGGGTTGGAGAATGTGCAGCGCTGTTTGGATCGTCTGGAGCTGCTAATATCTGAGGCGAGAAGATCGGTGGGCATCCTCCTTGATTTATTTCGTATCGAAAAATCACCAGTCAATTCTACTCCGAATTAGCTTCAGAGCGGCGGACATGCTGCATGCGCGCGACGACGCCTTTCAGTCACCTAGTATAAGCACAAGTTTAAAGCTATTATCGATTACCTGACAGGCATCGTTGGGCGCAGCGGCTATGGACGACGATGCATACTAGAAAATTGTACAAAATTTTGCAATAAAAATGGTTATTCTTGAAAATAGCGATATGGCAAGTTGGGACATTCTCAAATCTTTTCGATTTTTGCCGTTGATCTTCTTCTATCAGAAGTTTATTCCAGGCTCCACTTACACATTTTATTGCAATCCCTTGCGCAACTCCTGAGATTGTCCAAGCGTTTGAGATGTTCAAAGAAGCAGTAATCGCTAATGAGCGTATACCAGTGAGTTTTTTGCAGATATTCAGGTCGTCATCGCGTTATGTCTCAATAAATCATCCAGACTTCTAGGCTTCTAGGCTTCATCTCAAAGTTGGGTGGCAATTTCTAACTTTTGGCTGAAGTAACATTTGGCCTGTTTGATAAGAATTTCAAAGTTTCCTATATCACACATTTGTATATCCCAGTGGCGGCTCCGGATTTCGGACCGGGGAGGGAGGGGGGGGGGGGCGGCAAAAATTTGTTTTAATGAAGGTGCGTGGCGTCAACCACGCACTCCGTAAAATTTTTTGGGGTGCTTCTCGGAATTTTTGAGGCTCCATAACCCCTAAAATCTTGAAAAAGGGGACGTGGCGACAGTAACGCCTCCGAAAAAATCTTTTTACAGAGCTAATTTTTTTCAAAAATTTTTTAAATATTATTTTAATTATTTACGATGATAAGCAACTCACTTGCGCAATTTTATAACTCACGTAAGTGAATTTCAAAAATTTCGCGACCCTTTCTCGGGGGGGGGGGTCCCTTACCTGAACCCTCACGGAAAAAAACTTAATGGGGCAGATATACTTTCTACTCGAAAACTTTATCTAAACTGCTTGAGGAGGAAACCCGAAATCCCGCACTCTTCATAGCTCCGCTCAAATTACATATTACGGTGTGTGTTCTGTGGCTCTTTGACGAGGAAGAAGAGAAGAAAGCTGCTGACATCATCGCAGGATGTCGCGAGGAAATTATGTAAGTGCAAAACATTAATGGGGGAGGAAGGAAGTAAAGAGTGTAATAGTCTGACTGAACCTACATGATTTTCGCTCCCTGATTTATTACATATTTCGTGTGCGATGCAAATCTTGGTTTTTTCACTTGTGCTGTGCTCCGGTTCAATCTTGCGATGATCCTGCGTTTCAAAATTTTTTTTGTGAAGCTTAGGAATCGAATCGAGTAAATTAATATTCATAAAATTTGTTTAGGAATCGATAGTAGCTTCAAGGAATTTAGTCTTTTTTGAATTACCTATTTTGCAGGTCTTATCATATTATTGACAGGCTCGGTACTACACCTGGAAAGTCAATGAAAAAGTTTTTTTCCAGCGCCGCTCTGCCCAAAATTCCGTTTGAGGCTGAAGTAAATGGAGTCGAAACTTTTGAAGATGATCCGAGCAATGTCAAAGTCATTTATGGAGGAATCCACTCGCCAGTGTGGGTTTCTTAGTGTCGCCTAGATTTTTCGTATCTATCATTAGTTTGCACAGTGCACAAAAAGTTTTGAGAGGGATGTGATGTACAGTGTGTAAATTGCGACATAAGATCATCATTTTGTTATTCTTTTCAGCTTGCAAAACGTGTGCGATCTGCTACGTAAAAAGTTGGTTAAAGCTGGAATGTCGCCATCAAAGGAGAAATCCGTATCCACCCTGGATTCGTCAGTACAAATGCATATAACTTTGATGAAGAGCGGTTATGTTGATCCCGTAAGAGCATAATAAGGAAAATGCAGAGATCTTTGTCTCAACAGGCTGCTTTACAGGAAAAGCCAAAAGCCTTTGATGCGAAGGTCATTCTTGAGGAATACAAGGATTATCATTTTGGGACATTCACTTTCGACAAGGTAAGTACTAGCTTGCATAAATAAAGTTGTAATCGAAACTGCTGGAAAAAGAAACGTCATAGATCACAGCTCTTAAAGGAGAAAATTTTCTTTTTAAAATTTGGAACTGTTCAGTAATTCTTGATTTTGCAGAGTAGATTCAGATGCAAAAGAGAGTGCTCCTTTTTTGTTTGTCTGATAGGCCATGTAAACCAGAATAATAAAAAGTCCAAAGCAGGGCTCGGCACGAGCTGGCACCAGGGAATTTTCAAAACGAAGTCCCCCTTGATTTCCGCTAAGTTTTACGAAGTCCCCCTTGACCCTAAATCCTAAACTAAAAAGAACCCTCAAAAAACGAAAAGTCGACTAAAAAAACGTCGCAATTTGTCGACAAAAACGATATACCCTTTGCTTTTTGTCCCAAAAACAATATCCAGCTTGCCCCGTGCTAGCCGGTGCCAGGCCCTGGTCCTAAGTTATAGGAAAAGATGAAAAATTATTTTGAACGCTAGGCTAGGCACATCCTTGGACTAGAATTAGTTTGTTGTTTTCGTTAGTCGTAAGGTTGTCGTAGAAATTGTCCGAACATAATAGTAACAATGCCATAGGGTAAAATGGAAAAGGCTGTAGAGCCTGTGGTAAAAAGCTTAATGTGTCCTTTTCCAAAATTATTTCCATCCAATGGAGTAAAACTTTAGATTTGCGTATGCACTATGCACACTGTCGATTCGAAAACTGGCTTCTACGAGCAGTGCTATGAGACGTCGTTGTGCTAAACATATGTGTTAATATTGATGAAATTTCACTGAATACCGAGAATGTACTCTCTCCTTTTTTCTAATCAGTATCCGCTTTTGAAGATTGATAAGACACCCATGTTTTCTCTTGTCTGGTTACTATCACTACTTTTTCGTGTATTCTGGTTTTTATGCAACTTGGTGGACGATCTTTGTAAATATGAATGTTCTGTGGTACAAAGCAAATGTTGGAATTCAAATAAAGATTGTGTTATCGAATTTCTGTTCCAATACGTAGGAGTTACTGTTGATTGTTCAATTCAACTACGCTCAAATTGAAATACTATTTAGATGAAGTGATAATGCAGTAGTAGATCACCCTTTAGAACCCGAGTGTAGTCGAATTTGGGAAAATGAACATTTTTCTCGAAACAAGCGATCCATCTTTTGGAATAACAACAAAAAGAACTGGGGATCTGCATGGAAGAACAAATCTAAGTGAGAAACTTCGCTTCCAGTCCCCCCCCCCCCTCCCCCCGTTATACCTTCTTTTGTCGAGTAAAGACTGGCGAACAACTATCAATCCGTAGTTAGATATTCGAAAATGCATTGTTTATTTTTTTTCACGAATTTTGCCTACACTAGCTCAATCATCCCTTTTAGTTTTAGACAATTCTAGAATTCTTAGTCTTTCCTTTGCTTGAATATCTTCATTTCTTTTCTTTTTTTTTGTAATTCCGAAGATATTGTCTCTATTAACAAAAAAAAATGTAGCCGGAATGAACCCCTACCGGATAGCTCAAATTCGTCGTTTATATTCTCACTGCCTGCATTTGCTTGTTCGAGTATGGATTTCTAAGCATCTATCTGAACACACCAGCTGAAGAGTTCAAGGTGCTCCGCTTTGGAAGATGCAAGTCAGTTAAGTATAAAGATGGTACTGTTCCCATTGACTAGGTATATCTGAACGAATCCTACCAAAGGATGTTTGAAACGATGAGCAATAGCACTTGTAATTTACTGTGGAATTTCATTCTCAACATATGGTTCGTTGGATTTTTCATCGGCATTTGGTTCAGCCCACTTTTGAACGATAGGTTTGGTAGAAAAGGTTAGTTTGCTTTCTGGATACAAAAGTGAAAGGAGGATAAGCAATGTGTCTTCTGTTTTTCCTTAAAGAGCATAAGGTGTTCTAGTTGGATTTCTTGTCGGTAGTGGACTTGTGCTAGTTGGGGCTATACTTCGATTTTTGGCCATTTGTCTCTATCGCCCGGAACTTCTGATTATTGGACGATTTCTGACGTCGATATGCGAGGCCGCAACGTACCAGTCCTGCGTCGTATTCTTGCAGGTACCTAAAAATGTTTTTTTACTGACATGGAATTAATGTGCCAATTTTTTAGGAATGCTCTCCAAAGGAAAAACGCGGTATGATGACTTTCCTGAACGAGATCAGCTACTTCTCGATGTGTCTCGTCAGGATGATGCTCGGTACCAAAAACTGCTCGGCAATGATTTGATGGCTTTGACAGCATTAGCAGTGCCATTTTGTATGTCAAAAGTCTCCAACAAGGGAACGATCCCAACTTAAGGTGGCGAATTGGAAACCGCTACCATTAGATGCGTCTTGATGAGCTGATTCCAAATCTACCTTCCATATCTGCGACAACCTTATCTGGAAGAAGTTATGAAAGGTTAAAAATGTGAAGTAACGAGGTTTTGATACATAATCTGCTTTAAAATCCAACTTGGAAATGCACGACTAGCATCATATTGAGTGTACTGATTTCACGAAATGCTCACATTCAAAAGAAACGCAATTACATGTTTTTGAACAGCTAAAAAGCAACTAAAGTTCTTTAGTAAAAGCTATGAGCAATGAAAAGTCCAAATTTGGCAAATATACATAGCAATATCTCGAAAATTAGTTGTTCAAAAACACTTATTTGTGTTTCTTTAGAGTGTGAGCATTCCTTGAAATCAGTACACTCAATGTCATGCTAGTCAACTTCCAAGTTGGATTTTGAAGCGAATTATGCACTAAAACCCCCGTTACTTCACGTTTTAGCCTTTCATAACCTCCTCCAGATAACGTTGTCGCAAATATTGGAGGTAGTTTTGCAATCAGCTCATCAAGACGCAAATGATATGCGGTTCATTCCAATTCGCCACCTTAAGTTGAGATCGTTCCCTTGCAAGACGATAAATTGACAGACAGGAAGCAGAGGGGGCGGAGGGAGGGAGGGGAGGGAGGGAGGGGAGGGAGAGACAGAAGAATTGTTTGAGAAAGTACGTTTTTTTGAGTTCTTTGCTTCTCTAAGAGCTTATTAATGTTTCACAAATTTGCATAATTCGCTACTGCTGGGAATCACATCGTCTCATCAATAACAGTGAGAATCGATTGAAACATGACAAAAAAGCAAAGCTCCTGCCACTACTTTCTGACCACTTCGGTGCCTTCTTCTTCGTTGCTCTATTCTTTCTGCCTGAGACTCCAAAGTTTCTTCTGATATCTCGTGCAGATAAGATGGCTACAGAGCGCTCAGTGCGATTATCATGGACCGCACTGCAATGTGGACAAGATGCTCAAAGAAATTATAAGGTATCATGGAGTAGTACAACTATGACTGTGGGCTACGTAGTCGGTACTACAGTTCTACTTGGATTGAGAGGTTGGTGTTGCTCATACATTTGTTTATAAAGATGATATGTATTTTCTGATCAAGCCGTTTATTTTGAAAAGCAATTAGTATAACGAAAAGACAGTAGACGAAAATTCAAAATCACAGCAAAAATTCTGTCTTATGGAGATCATTTTGAAGCACTATTCAGTTACTTTGAATCTTTGAACTTGAATGGATCTGTTCGGGTGTCCCTTTCTAAGCATTTCATCGGCAGCTCATTCATATATGGCCCTAAATCTAAAATCCAAGCTCCTGCCCAGTGTGTTGCATGAGAACGCTGATTCGCTAGACAGTGCGGTAGGGGCGAGAGTTTGAAATTGAATTTTTCGTCCACGCATGAATCATATGACATGGCGTTTATACACTGGCTTAGGACAATCGAAGTAGGGCCAATAGGCCAGTAAGCGCCGCCTGCGCGGCTCACGGCCGTCCTGTCACGCTATGCTAGCCTAGCGCTTCAGGAGTGCTAAAGATGTTTCGAAAATAATTTCTGTAGACTTTAGAAAAGTCTTCTTTTTGACGTCTTCTTGAGTTGATGTTGGGCATCTGAAGGCAGTCCTTAGTGAGGACGTAGACGGATAATCCAGAGGAGACAGAAGGCATGCTCTGTGGTTACAAAGTCAACGAGCTCATAAGCTATTCACTCAAGAAATCCAACGTTTGGGATACACACAGGTTAGGTATAGTCGTCCTCTCAATTTCCAGCTGAATTAACGGATGAGGCATATGAATCTGCAAGGCAGACTTAGAGCTCTCAAATATATATACAAAACACAAAACACTGTGCAAAATTCAAGAAAAAATCAAAAGAAAGAATGGGATAGAACTTATTACACAATAATAATACTAATACTAATAATATCAATAATAATACTAATATTTTTATTTGGCCTTTGTGCTATTTCCTTCTTTAATATAAATTCTCGCTGCTCCCGAAATAAAGTTTTACTGAAAGGAACGGCTCATAAAAAGCGAGAAACTAGTGTCTCAAAGTGGTTTTTTGATAAGAAAGGAACATCCCTAAATAAAGTGCTGCCGAATACTCAATCTTTTCAGCATCTCCTCAGCATTTCCTTTCAGGAATGCCGCACCACTCAGCAAAGTTTCCGCAGATGAACCGATAAGACACTGCAAAAGTGCCTCGGAAGTTCTGGTCAGTTGTTTGAGCTATTCAAGGAAAACGTAAGGTACATTCTACAAATTTATAGCACAACATGATACGAAGGCAAACATAAGGTACATTCTACAAATTTAGAGCACAACATAATACGAAGGCCAACATAAGGTACATCCTACAAATTTAAAGCACAACATAATACGAAGGCCCAATCATAAAGAAGAAGTATCACTGCTCAGCTGCGCAGAAGTTGGGACACGTCAGTTTTTTGTCTCATTGTTTCTTGGGAACTTCACCGCTGCTCGCTGACACAATGTCAACGCCTAAACGGTGAAGTGATTTTGCGCAACGGAGGAATAGATAATTGAAATCCCAGTCTGTATGACTTAATAGGTTTATGATATTCAAAGCCGTCCAGCCTAGTGCCTACATTTAAAGATCTAAAATTTGCCTGCTTTCAATTTGATTTCATGCGGGAATACGGAAAGAAAACCAGGTCAGATATTACGCGTCCAGTTCAAAAGAAGACACCCCAATGTCTTAAATCTGGGCCATACCTCGCGCGATTTTAGTCGCCTTGCGATCTGAAAGTTTGCCAGATGTCTTCATATCCAGCGCTAGCGGAGCGTAAATGCCTGTATAACCTTCATAGATTGATAAAATGTTCTATCCTCTGCACATTTAAAACCGCGCACGATTTTGGACAATTGGAGTGTTGCCAGATAGCGTCGCTAGACTGAAATCGCTTGAGGCGTGGAAGGCCTTAGCATGTGGATGGCAATCTGGAATTGTTCGCGGAGTCCCAACTTGTGAACAGTATGTGGTGGTATGGCATAAGGTTTGTATAACAGAGACAGTATAATTAGATTTGATTAGGAGTTTATATCGCAATGTGAGTAAGTGCATATGAATTACGTGAGCTGAATAAGTGCATATGAATCTTGAGTAATAGGCTTGGAAAATTTCCAAACAGTCGATGACTTTATTCATGATGCGAAAAGATTCAGACAGACGTTATTGCTATTACTGCTACAGTCGAGTAGATTTTCCGCTTAATATAGTGTGCTTGCACCGAAGGTGAAATGCGTAGAGCGCGTGAACAATTAGATGCGCCCGTGACGCCGGCCAATTGCGCGCGCAATTGGCCGGCGTCACGGGCGCATCTAATTGTTCACGCGCAAATCTACGCATTTCACCTTCGGTGCAAGCACACTATATTAAGCGGAAAATCTACTCGACTTTAACTATCAAATTATTATTATCGCACATGGGTTATCGAATCAAGCTTCTCTCGAAGTTTTGAACCGCTGAAAATCACATTGATCACTGAGATTCTCATAATGTAAAGAGCAACAAACTGACCGTTCACTTCTACAAGTTAGTGTCACCAAATGCGCACGTCATCCTGCCATTAAATGCAAAGGAACAACCAACATATCGATATTTTTTGAGAAACTGAAAAGTCTTCGTTCGTCACTTAAAGAAATATTTACCCTCATTTCACTAATACAAGACGAACCAAAAAAGGTGCATTTTGTACTCGTGAAATTAAGTTGATGAGCATGATGAAAGTACAACCGGGTATTTCCTGATCATTTTTTTCACTTTTGATATATTGTATAACTCTGGTCTTAGCTCATGACAAGATAGTTGTCGTACAAAATAGATAACAGCGCTCAGTTAACCCGCCCACCTTTCCTCTGAGCTATCTACTTACTGGGCAAATTGTCTCCATTGTTTTTCCCCAGAAAGTTACTCGGATGAATTCTTTTGCTAGTGCAGCAATCTTATTATATGCGTGCTTATAGTCGGGGAGAGTTGTACTACTGCAAAAGGTGTCGATTATATAGGGAGATGATTGGCTGGCATAACGTACGGCAAAACCCATTGTTTCCATTCTTTGACATGTGAGGTGTATCGTGGATTTTGGCGCCCGTGTTTCGAAGCGTTCAGATTGACCGCGTCTTCCTTGTAACAAGAATACGTCTGCAAAAAGTGAATCATTTGCCTTGTTGTACTTAATTCGGCGAAAATCACATCTATTTCGCAAATTCTTTCCGAAACAGAGGGATATTTTACTTCAAATCTGCATATTAGATGTATTATAGCGTTATAATGCTGTATTCAACCTTGGAAGCTCGGTTAGTTTGTTCAAAATCAAGTCTTATCAAAGCGCAAGCTAATTATTATGAAGCTCGCGATTGAATACAAAAATGATTGAAGTGCTTAGAAATACTGTGTTAGCATAATTATCTAACCAGTTCATATGGGTAGTAGCGTTCCCTAGTCGGCCGTTTCTCGTGATAGTTGCACTGCTCCTTGAAACCTTCTTGAATACCATGTTCCCATCCCGGCCGTTCGCTGAGACATCGTCTATGCACAAAACCGAACGCACACCCAACTATATATCCATTGTGGACACGCTGTATCCTTTCATAAGCGCATCCGAAATTGTTTCTTGCCAAAACCTAAAGAATTCTTTGAAGCTGACAAAAAACTCAAGTCGACAGCTAAGGACTCTGATCACAAGTTTCTAGTTTTTGTGTTTGATCTTGGTATGTTCTCTTTTTTGTCAAAAGACTCGATGCGTTGAAACTGTCCCACAGTCATTTTGTCATACACTGCAGAATACAAGAACAACATACGCAGTAAAAAATCTGGTCAATTATTCTACTTGTGCCAACATTACCGCTTTCTTACCGCGCACGTATCATTCCTATTGGATGGCCTTCTGGGGTCAACCCGTGATAACAACATTCTTTGATCCAATTGACTAGACCAGTATTTCAGTAATGTTAGTATTACAGCTTCATAACTCTTTTCCCAGTAATCTTTGTTTATAACACTAAATAATGCGAATTAGGATGACATTTGTTGCTAAAACAATTGTTCAAATGACTCACTCCATTGTGAGGTATATGACATCGGGAGATTTTGTGCGTTTATTTTCGTGTGCCAATGGATTTCTTATTATCGACTTGATATAATCCCCAGCGTCATCTTCCATATAGCAATCATAATGCTGAAAGGTTGAAATCACGTAGAAATAAACGAAAAAACTTGCTTCAAAGTACTGCTTGATATACGGGAAACTAATAGAACTTAGTATTTGACGTGTTTAACGATGCTTAGCACATTGACGACATTGTCACCCACATGGTTGGTCATGCAATGGCTGCCACGTGGGACAATGTGACCCACACGGTGGGTCACGGCATAAATTTTTTTGAAGCGATAACAATCACTGGGTTTTCTGAGGTTTTTACGCTCTAACCCTAGAGGATACGTTGACATTTCTTGGCTGCTTTCAGGAATTTGTTTAGGTATAGTTTAGATGACGATCTGCTTGAAAGCTAGAAATTTTTGACTTGTTCGTGGAAGGCATTGTCCCACAAGGCAGACAACTAAAAATGCGCGTTGTCGTCAACTTAGGGAGGTGGAATACTGGTAAAAAATAGCAATTATTTTTCAAACTGTCGAGCCAGAATAGTGGTAAATAATATAGTGATTTGTATTTCTCTAGATTAACGAAAGCTTTTGAATGGAGTGAAAAATGTTTTCTCTTCTATTTTGCTTTTAGGTTGGTGCTTTGGCCCTTTGCAAAACATGCTTTGACATCAAAAACAGAAGTGATAACTCAAAATAAGCTTTTGATGGATATCACAGGTACAGAATTTGAACTAGAGCACTTGTCAGAAGTCGTGCAACTAAGACCAACCGGGGTTATTTTCCCTTCAGATGTAGTGCCTTGGCAGAATCGTCGAAACAACTCATGCAGTTTATGCCAATTCTGGTGGTAACATGTCCTACAGCCATAGTCGTCAGTAGACCAAGTACCAGGACAGAAGACGCACGATGCTACAGGCAGAAGCTGAAATTCCAAAAATGTTTTGCGTGTTCTAATATATACACAGGCAACTATACAGCTGCTTGAGTAAATGGGCAGGCAAGTAATTAAAGCAATATAATCGAGAGGTCCCTTCAATGCTCATTTGATTTGTTTGCCATTTTTTGTTCATTCATTTCTGAAGTCTATTCTATTGAGTGCAGCATCTGCGCGCAGTCAATATAATTTGCAGGCAATTATGATGTCCTTGCCATACTAAGATTACGGTAAGATTTGCTTGTGAGGGGAGACGGCCCTTCTGAACCCACCGTCCCTTACAGTAATCTAGAACTAGGACGCGCGCGCATGCGCTGCGATGACTGCGGACGAGTGCTCCGCGAAGGGCTCGTATTTTCGAAAATCACATACTCCTTTACTTCGGCTCTTGCATTATGGAATGCAAGCCAATCACCTGATTTCAACCAAACACAGCTATCATCCTCTGAATGTTAGGTATTTTGAACCCTACTTTCCAGCAGGTATGTTTATGATTTATGGGACATTTTCGAAGTCTTTTCATTCCCATGATTCATGAAAACTCATGAATCTCCTTTGAATTCTTTCGAATTTTGTTTTTTATTTTTGCTTTTTTCCCCTTATATTATCTCTTGTGTGTGCGATCCTTATGACGTCGTGCATCGTCACATCATATTGCTAATGTTAGCTGCTTGATGTTATTGAGGAAAGCCCACGTAATCAAAGTTTGTGTAGCAACTCTTTATAAAGCCAATTTTAACTTATATTGGTGATCTACGCTAATTCGTTATCAGATGCGTATTTCCTTTTGACATTTCAGCGCAGCTCTGTAACTTTCCAAGAAAATTATCATTTTTTTTAAATTCTCATTCCTAGCAAAATTTACGAACTTGCATTTGAAATCGTTACGCTATTAAAAGCATGATGCGTGCAGCAAAGATAAGGTCGCTACCAAAATCAATCCATGTAGATCACGCTACCAAATGAAGGTGATGCATTTTTTTTTGAGTTTTTGTTATGGACGGCGTAAAAAACTTCATACTCATCATAAAAAAAAACGTATGCTTCCCTACTGGCATGCATGTAGTGCACATTTCAATTGAATGTGACTAAATGATGCTGCAAGGAGGCAGACGTAGAAGAGTAGAGCATGCAATGGAACTAAAAAACAGTAAATTAAGTTGAAAAAGACATTGAAAATGTCTCATAGATCAAAAACATACCACCTTAAAAAGTGGCCGGCGATTTAAGTAGTGTGGAGTAGAGCGAATAACTTGTTATTGAATTCTAGGGAATTTGGGGTAGGAATTTTCTAGAGAATTACCTCCAGAATCTCATTGTGGACTAGGTTACCAGCGATGTGAAACTCGTCCGCCTTCGCAGCGCGTCTGCCCAGGTCAGCCGCTCGCTCCCGCGAGCTAGCCAATCATGGGGTGACCTCTAATTAGCGCTGACCTCTTATAGCCGTCGCGATTGGGGCAGGTTCAGAAGGGCCTACACCCCTTGTGAGCAATTAGCTATACCTGAAAGGCCAGCACCTGTGCGCGCAATTGCCGACAAGTCTACCCAACTGTAGTAAGATTTGTGGTCAAGGTTTCTTCTTAGCCTGCACTTTTACTAGCCTGGGTTGCAGATGTTAAGGTGTCCCTCTACCTTCCCTTAATTTCAGTACATTTTGTGCTAGCATCATGCGTTCGGGTATACTTGAAAAGCACCAGAAAAGCGCGTTCTTATTGTCAAAAGGGCAACTGACGTCACTTCACAAAGCTTTTTACACAACGAGCCATGGCTAATTCAGTTCCATCCAGCCATAATAATCAAACTAACCTATGTAATCTCTGTTTTGATGAAGTCGAAATCAGTGATTGTTCTACAAGGAAAGTGTAGGATAAACTGGCTTCATTCGAGATCGTTCGAAATGGGAGTAAAAACAAAAGACTCACCTTTTACTGTTCCTTCTTTGGTGTCACAATAATTTTTTGCCCTTATACGGGTTTAGTAAGCTTCTGGACCACGAATGAAAACGCTTTCGAACAATCAAGATACATTAGGCCGATCCGCAAAGAATTCAAAATCTTTTGAAGGAGTTTTACATCCTTTTGAATGGAGATGTTAAAGACAATCCTGAGCGGCTTCTGATGCAGATTTCCAGCTGTTCCTAACAAGTATGTTTTCCGATAAATTTCTTAGCTTATTTATAGAAAGGTGTCAAAGTTTACAACTAAATACCACTTTCAAATCCTTTTCGAGCATTGTAGGCGCTACAAAATAAGAAACTTCAAAAACTTAGATGCTATCTATTTATTTACTATCACATCTGTTCATTACGGAAAAAGAAAGTGTCTCTGTAGCGATAATTTTGCATCCTGCTGAGAGTTGCTAAATAAAACCTGTAACAAGCCTCTTCTGTCTGTTCAGTTCTCACAAAGAGTTTCACTGTGTCCTTTCCACACAAGAGTATATGGGGATACACGTGTCGAAACGCTCTTTTCGAAGTTATAAATTTTTTTCTAATGAAACCTGTGTGGTACCAGACGGTCAAAATTTTCGGTGCTTGCCAAGTTGCATGCTTCTGTTACGGAACAACATCGGTAATACGATTAAATTTGAACCATCAGTCGAATTTGATGGACGAAAATGCAAAAAAATCTCGCAACACCCACTTTGATCCTTTGCAACAGTGCAGCTTTGCTATCGAAAAGCGTTCGTAATTTCAGATAGCCAACATAGGTAGGAGGTATCGGTCATACGTCGCGCAAATTTCAGTCAACGCAGTTTTGATTTCTGCGATCGCTCAAAACTCGTAAACGCCTTCTAGCAAGAATTCAGCATGTTTGCTCAGCCCACAAAAGCTATGCGCCTAAGCATTTGGTCGGCGCGATGGATCTGTAGAAATGACATTTTGCCAGATCGCGTGTCGCGCATTTAGCCGAACCGTTCGAGGTATGATCTATGCCTGAGATCAGCGTTCCGAGGCGAGTTTTTCTGTATATAACATCTCATGTGGAAGGCGACGTGACCGCTTTACTTGCGCCAGCGATTGAAACGATTTTCCTCAAGACATCCAGAACTTTTCTGTCAACTTTTAGCTACGTGATCTCTTATTATTCCACAAGCATTTCCGTTCTGGATAGACGGGAAATTCAATCCAAAGAAGCGTCAGAAAATTGGCCCTTCTGAAGTATTGATGCAAGCTATAAATGAGGAAACGAAAAGCGCGCAAATTCTGAAGTAGCGATTAGAAGCATTTGAATCCAAGGTCTCTATAAACATCTTGTACATGACAGTTCCTGCTGTATGAATTGAGTTTGCAAAATTCTATAAAGAAGTGTAGGCTATTGAAAAAGAACTCACAATTATTAGAATGCTGTAAGAAAGCATGTTTGCACTTAGCAAATCATGCCGATGCTTTCTCTCATATCTTGTGCCTTTATACCGGTAAAGGCATTATGACCTATGAATTCAAACCATTAATAGCGAAAGTACAAATTACCTATCAGCGAGAGTGCCCCACAGTAAGACCTTCATGGGATGCATAGGTGCGATAGGGGGAGCCGGGCCCTCACCAGATGAAGGGGGTCTCTGCTGATCTCATCCTTGTACTAGGTTGAGTCAAAAGTAATGAGAACTTTTCTGGCATCCTTTCGGTGTTTTAGCAAACTGTGAAGAATAGTGATAGAAGAGTACCCTAAACTGTGTTAAATGTAGCTTTTCTTCCTCTTTTCAGGAGGCAGGCCAACGGCCCGGTTGACTTCTTACAAGGGAAAGTTCCCAAGTTAGCTCGGCCAACCCGGATGAGTCATATATCACCGTAACGGGCTTGAAACGCTGATTCCAAATCTGCTTTCCTTTTCTGCGTAGCGACTTTCCGAGAGAAGTTATGAGCGTTTAAATGTCTAAATTTGTCATGTTCAAAGTGGCTTAAAATCACTTGAAACCTGTAAAACAACACCTAACGAAATTTCATTATCTGTATTCCGTCCTTGTAATTAATATACTTGCTACAAAATTGATAAATCACTTTCATGTGTTATTGTACAGGTTTCGCCAATTTTAAGCCACTTAAATCATGAGGAATTTGGATTTTTAAACGTTCATAACTTCTCTCGGAAAGTCGCTCCGCAGAAAAGGAAAGCAGATTTGAA